TTTTATAACGAACAACTAGAATATAGTTGCAGACATCACCACCAGAAATTAATATAGCTTGAAAGCATGGCAGGCAGATTTTATTCTTTTTTAAGAAAGCTTCCAATCCCAAATCAACAATGACAGAATTCCCAATGCCACACGAAAGGCTGAACCTAGAGGTTTTTTAAAGGCTGATTATTGATCCAAACCCTGAGAAGTTCTTGAACACGCATAGTCCAAAATGATATTCAGAAAGTAAAAGTACATGAAAAGACACAGAAGGCTCAACTTTAAGCAAATCTCCTTAACATGCCCCACTGCATTTCCTGGGGAATAAGATATGTGTATTTCTGCTTTTGATTTGTTTGCTGGCAAAGCCAGGGTAAAAATGACCTGTGACATACAAAAGGTGGTATTCTCACACACAAAACTGATCTGTCAATAATCATCTTGTGAAAATTGCCTCAAGAGTTACAATTCTTCAAGATACTTTTGCAGATGGGTGCTCCCATGACATTCCATCCTAAAAGCTGTATCTCTGACTGATCCATTAAGGACTAGTAGGTAGATGAAGGTTTTTTTTTTTTATAATGACATTAGCTATTGGCCATGTGTTAGAATCCTTTGTATGTTGCCTATGGACTTAATCCAATGTAATTTATCAAAAAGATCTCTGTTAATTTAATGGAATTAGGCAGGACATAATTTATAACCTTAGTATTGAAGAGAGTCTCTGATTTTCCTCCAGCGCAAAACTATCTGAAATTAAGAAAGGTCACTGGAAAAACAATGTCTCTTGAAACTGAGACAGAAAACTGTTTGCACAGCTTAAGGGAAACAGTAGAAACTTTATAGAGAAGTGGCCTTTAAATGCTGAATAGCATTCACTAGTCTATTAAAAGTGGGCCTTTTGATTTTGTTTTATACTGTATCTAAATTTCCTGTAATTTTTGCTCCTAAGTAACWAATTCATCAAAGATTAACATTGCTCTGCCTAAGAACAGACATARGAAAGGCAAATTGCCCTCCTCGTTATCAGACAGTCTGACCACAAATGGCACAAACTATGTGCCAGAATTTACAGGAGCCTGGCCAGCACAGATCATTAATTCTGACACAACTTTTACACTCCAAACACCACTAGAAAGGTCACCGCTAAGGACTAGAGAGCCAAGACATCTACGAAGTACGTTCAACAGTGATCTCTGCAGCTCCAACGAACAATCAAAGTCTTTCCAAAATGTAATAAGGAAAAGTTATGGCGTAAGTAAATTGGTATATATGATAATTAGGGAGGACAGAGGGGACCTTCTGCTGCAATACATATATAGAGAGATATAAATATAAATATAAATATAAATACATACATATACAAATACATATATATATAGTGTGTGTATATGTATGTTTTTAGTGATACTTTACTAAACATTATTTAATTTCATAGAACGTTCTGTTCATTTGTGCAAGTTCGTTCCTGTTCAAAAGAAAAATTAACGTATATAATATGGACCAGTTCCTTAACTGCTGATGTCASTAGCCAAGTTATGCTAATATGCATCACATGAGTAACCTATGTGTTTCTAACTACACTTAAAGATATACTGTAAAATGCCTTACTTGAAAATAGATATCGCTCTTCTAGGACTAATCTTGTCTCTCTTTTTTTTTTTCTCTTCCCCTTGCAATGGGGAAAGGCAGAAGGAGGGAAGAGATGTAAAAAGTCTTCCAGTTCATTCTAAAGTTAAAAATATATATACCCTTTATRACTAAGCTTTCAATTTATTTTACATGTTGTCATAACATTAAGCCATCATTAAGCCAAACTTAACAAATATAGACTCTCCTTTAGACATTGGATGTTTAGGTTGACTTCTGGASTCCCTTATACTGAGACTGGGACCAGAATCACCATTTATTATAGCCATGTTCTGCCTTATCATCAAGCTAGGAAACCACAGCCTCAGACCACCATTTTGCATTTCCACCACTGGGCACCTAGAAACTGACTTAGCAGTAACAAGCCATTTGCAAGAAAAGTGAGGAGGCTTTTCACCCTTTCTGAATTAACATGCCTCCACCAAAATGCCTGTTTCTGCATTCTCCCTCAAAATAGATCACAACAATGCTGACAGCTGGCCACAGTGGGAGAAAATCATAGATAACAGGTTTCAGAGTTTTCAAATACCACCAGGACTACAGACAGAGAGATAACAGAGGTGACAGGCAAGTCTGCAAGTAAATGAGAGTTTCCTTCCTCCTAGGCACAACTATTGTCCTCCACCAACTCAGCCAATGGCCTGTGAACAGCTCCTGTTACTTAAACTGTCTGCCCAAGAAAGTAAAATGAAGAACACTTTAACAGCTCTTCTTGAACAGAGGTTGCATGCCTAAGCTGTAGGGATCTCATCTACTGATATCAGTTCATATTTGGTGGCAAATCTTGTAACCATGTCAATCTCAAATACCTTCACTTATTAAGTATTAAACCTTTTATTCTGTACAGGTATCTGTAACTGTGTCGTCCACCGACATGGCTTTTTTTTTTTTTTTTTGGTCACCCCTTTTGAAGATTTACAAGCATTCCAAGTATATATTTCACAACATATTTCACAGCATAGATAACATGCTATGAGGAATTCTTCCCTCCTACAAATAAAAATATCACATGAATTTTCCATTCACTTATTGGAAAGGCTGTATCTTCCATGATTACTTATTTTAATTGTAAGAGACTATAGGTATATGGAATATCCACACCTTCCACAAGCATAACTGACTAAATTTTATGAAAAAGAGGATTTTAGAATCCTCTCTTCAGAATACAGAACTTGTATTAATATTCGTAGTGTTAATTCTACTGCTGGATAATTTTGTGTGTAAGAACAAATAATCCGTGGAACAACAATGTTTTAATGATGTAAAACAATTTCATGTAATCACAAAGGATAAGACAAAAACAAACAAACAAAAACCCCACCTGTGTGTGGGGGTGGGAGAGGTGGGGGCATGTAAATGGGCTGATTGGAGTTAAACTGCCCAAAATGAGATGCCCAAAATGAGATGGGGCCTGAGCCTTGAGCCTAGCCACTATTTACAAAGGCACAAATACATTCCCTTGTCATTACATCTGTGTGAAAAGACATGTGTGAAAACAACTTGCAATACCCAACTGTCAGCTCCATGCTATAAAGAAGATGCTATACTTGCTCTTTGATATTAATAGAGGTAGCTGATAATGAAAATTAATGTTGATTCATAAAGACACAGCCTTTCTTAAGAATACTGTAACAGCAGCTTGCATAATCCTGAGATTTCCTTAATTAAGGAACATTTCTCAGAACTGTTTTATTTGAATGTAATACTTGTCTCCTGTTTTCACCTCCCAGCTTTACCRCAAGTACCTTTGATTAACATGTCCTAATAAGAAGCTTCATTCAAAARGAAAGCTAAGAGGAGGAAGATAGGCACTGAGGTGTGGCTGGTAATTAAAAAAATGAAAGGGAGTGGAAACATATTAGAGAGAGGTGAGAAGTCAAGCCAGTGATATTTGCTGCAGGCAAAAGAGACTCTGAAGGACAGATAGATCATAGCATGGATCCTTGATTATTTTACACGGCTTGAGAAAGAGCAAGGGATTTGCAGAGCTGAGAAATGCAGCTATGGCTTAATGACTGCTTTCTTCTGATTCCATATGACAATTATTTTTCAGTATTAAACTTTGATGTTTTTAAAAAGAAAGAACAAGACTCTTGAAGAATGCTAGAGAAATGGCTAAATGTTATCATTTATGTCTTAAAGACATAATATCTTTATAACATCTTATGTAAAGACATTCATCGAATATAAACTCCTATAGATTTCCCAGTTTATGACCAAGGTAGCCTCAAAGTCATCAAAAATGTGTAGGGAAAAAGAGCGTAGACCAGAGTAAAATGTCAAGGTAAAGCAGCACTAAAGTTAGGAAATAAGCATAGAATCTCTGGCTTTATCCCACTATGTGTTTTATTTATTATTATATCGCAGTAGCACTCAGGGCTTTAGCCATGAATCAGCAGCCCATTACACTATCTTATATGCAAACACATAATAAGCCCACAAGACTTGAAACACTCCCATTTATCAGCAATGCTGCTTTAAAACTACTGTCTACCAAGATGTGATTTATGATGAACGTGCAGGGGGGTATTTCTTACTCAGAGGGGCAGATACCTTTACCAGAGGACTCTGAGATGCTGAATGCAGAGGCCGCTCCTGTCTGCATGGCACAGGCTGCCGCGAGGGATTTGCAGCCATGGCAGAAGGGCTTGTTTGTTTGCTGAACTCGACTTTGCACAAATACATGGCATCTTGCACTACAAACCTGAAGGAGATGTGGTTGCACAGAAAACAAAAGAAAGCAACAACAACATAAAAATCCTATCCAAGGTTAGAGGAGAGAGGAGGGGGAAAGAACAAAAAAACCACCTTAGTCGAGAACTACTGATTAGGTGCTTGAAGGTTGCCCTTTATGAGTACTATCTGCCCTTAGCCTTTCCAAGTCTCTTTCTTTGTACCCTTCCCTCAGCCGCCCCTGCTCTCACACGAGCCCGACGACCGTTAGTAACGGCCGTTTCTGGCCCGCGCGCGCGCCTCTCTCAGGCCACCATGTTGCCGCTTTGGCGGCGCGCCGGGCAGCACCGCCCCACCGCGGCGGCCATCACAGGGCGCCGGGCCGGGCCGGGCCGCGCCTGCCGCCTCCTCTCCTCCTCTTCCCCCGCCCCACAGCACCTTCCTCTGGGGCGCGGGGCGGGCGCGGCGGCACTCCCTGCTCGCTGCGGAGTGATCGCGGCCGCCTCGCCCGCCCGCCCGCGGCGGAGGGATACGGGGCGGAGCGCTGCGTCCTGCCGGGTTTCCGCGTCGCCTCCTGCGCTCCTGGTGCTGCTGCCGCCGCTCGGGAGCGGCGTGTGAGGGCCCCGCATCGCGCCGCGCCTCTCTCCCTGCCTGTCTGCCCCGCTGCTTCTCCCTCTCCTCTCCCCTCCGCGTGCCCGCCCGCCCGCGGCTGACATCCCGCGCCGGCCTCGCTCGCAGCCTGGACACCCCCAATATGAACAGCGTCGTCTGCGCTGCGAGGCACCAGGTACGGAGCCGCCTCGGGGCGCCCCGCCGCGCGGCGCCTTGCTCCGCTCTGCCGCCCGGATCCCGCCGGGCGGGCGGCGCGGCGGGAGCGGCGCCCGGGCCAAGGTCACGCTCCGCGCGCGCCCTGCCGCGCGCCGCCGCCAAGGGAAGGGATGGGGGGGGCGGGGGGGGCGCCGTCTTCCGCGGCGGCCAAAACGCGGCGGTTGGGGCGCGTAACGTGCGCGGGACCCCGGCAGGGAGGAGGGAGGAGGGCCAGGGCACGGAGCGCGCAGTCGCTGCCCCTTAACTACAGGGGTTCGTCGAGAGGAGGCTCCGCTGCCCTTGTCCCGCAGGCAGGGAGCGTGCGGGAGCCCTGTCCCCTCCGTGCCGCGTCCCCGCAGAGCCACAGATCCCACAGCATGGAGCGATGTGTCGCGCCGAGGGCGCTTTAATATAAATATATGTTTCTAAGCCACAAAACAAGCTCAGGATGCAGCAGCCGAGGAATATTTTCCAATTAAGAAAATAGACTTAAGCCCCTCTAAATAGATCTAATTTTGCTTGTTGCAGCTACAGCTTTTGAGGTGCATTTAAATGGGGGGAAAAACAAGAACTTCTCGGGTGGAGGGGAAAAAAGCTTTTTTTGATGGCTGTCTGACAAACTTTCGAAGGGCTGTGGGGTGCGTGAGCAGGAAGAGGAAAGCCATATGAAAGGAAGAGAGATCATTTAAAAATGAAAATGAACTGGGAAGCTGGTGTGTTACAGCTGTGGTAGCTGCCAGTGCTAGAAGGTTACCATTTGGACTGCTTCTGGTATTTTTTTTTTTAAGCCTGCAAATATAAATGTGTGTTTTAAAAGAACACTGTATCCTTGCTCTTTTTAGAGGCTAGTCCGAGTAAGACATTTACTTGGTCTAAATATTAAAGATTTCAGAAAAAAAAAAGAAAACATGTAGTACTTTTCTCTGCCTTCAGACTTGGCCACTGATAGCAAAGATTCCCTCCTCCTCCTCCTCCATGCTTTGGGGCCGGGGAGGGGAACACAGATAAAGCAGTTTATAAAGCACTGGAATAACCATTTCATTAACAAGTCTTACCAGTGAGACCAAACCTCTAGTGGAAAATACTGGAAACATAAATGTGCAAAGCAAGATTCATGCAAATTCTGTTAGTCTTTGTTTTAAATGATCAATGTAACGAAGCTGAGCCTGAGCTGTGGTGTGCAGTATGGTTTAGCCCATAATATTCTGCCGTAACGAAAATTCAAACACAAAGAAAAATCGTGCATTTTTGCCATAAATAAATGTAAATCTAAGAAGGGACATTTCTGAGAATTCCTGGTTTTGTATTTTGATGCAGGTAGCGGTATGCAAGTAGCCCTTGCTCTGACCTACATTTCTTGTGACGTAGCCTCKGCTGCTGGCAAGTGGCTCTCAAGTGTTTCTCTGGAAGCTGTGGTGTTAAATTCTTCTTTTTTTCCCCTCATTGTATCAACAAGTGTTAAAGTGTCAGTCATAATCAACAGGTATCGGTCTTCAAATGGAAAGATTAAAAAGCACTTTCCCCAATGTAATGTTTCAATACTGAGTTTGAGGTAATACTTTAATCTGATAAAAAGCAGCTCTTGCAAAATGGTCACTAAAGCAAAAGCAAAAATGCTTTTTAATTTTTTTTAACCAAATTCAACACATGAAAAGCACTAATGGAATATACTAAGCATGAGAATCTTTGGTTAGGCGGAAGCATAAAGCGACCTTGTCTGTCTTGTTAGGAAATAGGGATATTGTCTTCTATCTCAACACTTGCCCTGGGACCTGTCATCTTGGTACCTCATCTGAGATTATARCTTGTACTACATTATATATAAAGCCATTCCTGGATTTATAGTGGAGAGTCCTAGATGGTGATAACTGAAGTACTTGGAGAGTGTAGCAGTAATCATTCACCACTTTTCCWAATGTTGGAGTGCTTTCTACAGTGAAATACTGTGTAAAAAATGGGGGAGAGGATCTGAAATTCTAAATACAATGAACTATGTAAATGGTAATAATAATATTAATTTGCTCATGTAGCTGTCTGAACAGTTTGGTGGTACTTATATCTGTAAGTTATGTTTAAAGAGGATGAGAAGTCTTAGTGTTACAGTTATTTAAATAAGTCTTTCTAAGAGTTTCTTTGAATATATTTAAATTTAACTGGAAAAAAATAAATGTGGAAGGGTAAATTTTACCTTTGGAAGTTAGTAACCTGCAGTAAATCTGTGTTGCTTAGTGTGTGTGTGTGTCTGTGTGTGTGTGTGTGTGTGTGTGTGTGAGATACATGGGCTGTGGTTCTTTTATGATCTGCTGACACATACAAAAAATAAAAAATCTCAATATGTGCACATCAGTATTTAAGAAAACTTACAGATATTTGGACTAAAAAGCTGTTTTTATGCCCTCATCTAGCACCTGGGCAGTAATTTGACTGCTTGGCTGCAGCAGTAGTGCTGAATGACCGCGTGAGCATTTCAGGGCTGCTGTCCTCTCTGAATCTCGTGCAGTGTTATACTTAGCAGCACTGCGCCTTGGTGGAACGTGGTGCCTCCGAAGAATGGCAGTGCTAATCTTCAGTGTTAAGCTAGAATGCCAACCCTAAGTTTATGTATAACTTCAGTGCTTTTGTTTCCTTTTAAAAGTAAGGGCAGGGAATAGGCCTGCTCCCAAGTGAAAAATGTCCTAAATGAAATTTGCTGTTCAGGTTCTAGAAGGTTGATTCTGTAGGTTTCAATAGCTGTACTTTGGTGATGTTTGAAAAGTAATAATTTCAGAAGCACCAGACTTCATATTTAGTTTAGTGATCTGAAATAATGCTTAGTCGAAAAATCAGGAACAATTGCTATAAAACTGCTGTCAACACACAATGCAGTGTGCTAGAAGAAAACACGCAAAAATCAAATAAAATAGTTAGTGAAAGTTATTTACGTTTTAGAAAGATAGTTCTARAAAGGCATTTGTCAAATCTCTTTATAGCTTCTAGTACAGAATATGCAGGGTTTTCATTGAACTCTGACCAATTAGAACAGTTACCTTGGTGATAATATACCAAGGCAAAAAGAAAAGCATGAGCAATATTGAATATGCTTATATTATTTAGTGCCCATTTTGAATAATATTAGATGCAAAAGCCAGTATTAGCTATTGACACCAAGCAGTGTTGAAATGCTGTAGAAATAACATTGAGTTTCATATTCCTGCATGTTCAGATTAGGCAATAATATTAGATTCCTGAATACAAAATACTCACACACACACTTAAACACACACACACACACACACACACATATATATGTACACATACACACATATATGTGCACACATAGATATGTGTTTGTGTTTCAATGGAGAATATAAGGTTCCTGAATACAGAATACACGCACACACGTTCCAATGGAGAATTATTTTCAATGGCTTTGAAGGTCATATGGAAGTATACTGGGCAAACTGCAACACTATAGATGAAATAAATTTCTTTTTTATGGTAAAATATGCAAAACATGTAAAACATGTCCAGAGGATGATTTACTGACTGAGGGTGATTCTGGAATTTAATTGAAAWTTTTGGATAATTGTCATATAATTTGAAATCAATAGCCTCATATGGCTATTTAACGCCTTTTCCTTAGGAATGGCTGTTGAATGGAGAAGTATACCATGCAGTGCATGTGTAGCTCGTGTCTCTGGATGATACAGCAATAAACATTTCATTTGTTATGGACCTCTGTAAACACCACCACAACCTCCTCTGAGAGGTTAGTGCTGAGAAGGAAGCAAGTGATAGCCAGCTTGGCTTGAACTCTTTGCCAGATTAGTTCTGGTCATGTGTAGATTATGTAGTGAAGYTTATGGAATTAAGAATTTCTCTCTGCTTTCTTTTTTTAAAAATCTTTTATACTTTGCATTTGATTAAATAAGTCTTGCCATAGCTGAATAGAAATCATAGCTGAGTAGAGCTGTAATGGAAATGAGATTTTTAACATCTGAAATTATAGTTTAGAAGATCAAAGGTGTAAAGAAACAATTATCTTGTTTCTTTCTGGGTAGTACTGAAGAAATACAATGTTTTTCAAGTTGATTCATTGCAGCATTTGTGTTGAAATAATATCCCTGTATCTTTGAAAAATAGGTTGTTTCAAATGAATTGAATCTTTGGGGAGAGCACAGGCATCAGACACCTTGCTTCTGTTTTCAAGAAGTGAAACGTTCTGTTTGCTTTAGAAATGGAAAAAGCCACAGCAGTTGAACCAAGGAGAGGGGAAGTGCTGACTTCCAGATACTTACAGTTACATAATATTTGGTAAATAGACCTCAGTTTCATACTTTGACTTAAGGGTTATGTATAGGAAATGTATAGAAACTTTCTCTTAACAAAGTATGCAGACATTAAAGTTGTAGTCTCCAGGATAGTGTTTCAATAGTGTTTGCTGCASTAGGGATATAATTTTACAATTTGATGCCACTGCTTGCTCTAGGGTGACTGTTTTTCTCCTTTATATGCATGTGTTCATACCAATTCTAGTAGCCAAATTTGAATTTTAACATTTTTTTCTACCTGAATCTACCTGATTTTTCTATCTACTGATTCAAATATTAAAGATTGAAGTTCTTAAGAAAGAAAACTACTTTTTTGGTGCTGACTGGGAGAGTACATTTTCAAATGATGCCCTCTACTGCTCTTGAGAATTACTGTCTCGTGCCTGCCCAGCCCATCTATGTGGAGACTGCACCAGCTTCAATTCCTGACAAAACTATCCTACGTGCTGGCCAGGCATTAAAGTAGTGGCACTCTCTTCTTACAACATGGATGACTTTTAACTTTTGCTGAGAAGTGAGTTGTGCCTGTTCTTAGGAAACTTGATTCCCAACGTGGCATTTAATGTGCAGATACAAATATAGTTGTGGAGCTCCAAAGGGAGCACAGGGGATGAGGTGGGCAGGACTTTCCTGCAGCAGGATCAGGGTTGGAGAAGCTCCAGAGTGCCTGTTCATTGCCTGCACCCTCCCCACTGCTCCTGCCCTTCTCCTCCCCTCTGGAAAAGTCCAGCAAAAGCACTCACCAGAGGCAGGATTTGGAATCAACTTATCAACCACAACTCCAAGTACCGCTTCAATGCGCCTAAAAATTGTGCTTGCAGGGTGTTAGAGACCTTGTGGGGTTTTTTTTTGTTTGTTTGTTTGTTTTCTGTAAAGCTGCATTAGAAAACAGTAGTTTCTGACCTTTTTATTATTTATTTATTTATTTWTTAAATACTTAAGTACTAGGGAGAAATGGAGAAATGCTTGGTCATTTCAGACATGTCCTTAATCAGCCCATTTTAGGCACTATCAGTAAAAGATACAAGTGCAGGGAAGAGCAAAAGGCATGAGGTATATGGATTGTTTTTTGTTTTTGTTTTTAAATTTGGTAACTTTTGTGGTGTTACTTTAGAGTTACCAACTTGTGTAAGCAAGTGATAATGATTGAGATAATAGAAGTGCTAAAGGTTAGAGTTGATAGGAATTGTCTAGAACGGGATTCATCTGTTTTAATGTTTTTCTCTAAATATCTGTTTAGCAACTATCTTGCTTCTGTGAGATACACATAAGAATGGAATTGGTTACACATGAGAATTTATCTCTGTCAGTATGGAAGAACCTATTTCATTTGTTTGTGACAAAAACATATTTAAGAGACTATTGAAGTTCCATTTGAAATGCATGTTACAAATATTTTTTATCTTTACTTAATAATTTCTCTTTTGTTACAGATTACGATGCATGATTACCACAGAAGAAATTCATGTCTATAGCTCTTAAGGACTTTCATTACATCATCTTCAAGCCTGATAGTTTTGGAACCCCATATAGCAGCTGCAAAGACACGTCTGCTTGCATGTCAACAAACATCTTCCCTATCAGAAGATACTGACACTAAAGTGCTCCGTCTAAACAAAGTGAAACCATTGGATTATTTTAAGATCTCCCAGTTATAGATTTACGGTAATACAATTAGGTAAGTTAATGCTACTGTGAGCTGCGTATGCAAAAGGGAAGATTTTGTTCAAATTCTGTTACTCTAGTTTTGTTTTGAAATACAAGTGAAAATGTGTGCAAACTAAAATTTTTCTAAGTGACTATTTCAGTGCCAAATGCTTTCTGTAGCAAGTCAAAATAAGTGGATTAAAGCTGGAATTATTTTGCATAGAGCTTGTTTTTTTTTTGTGTGTGTGTGTGTGTGCGCGCACGCATGCAATTCTCTTGGGCTGTCCTTAGAATTTTTCTTAAACTTCAGTTGGAAATGTAGATCGTTGCAAGTATTGAGGGTATACCACCTAGTCTTTCTTGTAAAATTGTTGAGAAATTTTCATATTGCTGGTAGCAACTTAAACTTATGACGTTTATTTCAAATCCATAGGTCTTCTTAGGTGCTACCCCTTCAGGAGTCGCATTTTAGTGTTCTTAATTTAGCTCCCTGCTTGTGAAGTGCATTTTTTTCTAGCAAAACCTTTCCAGCTCCCATCTGGCTGAGGTGGTATGTTTTTGTATATGGGTGAGATTTTTCAGATGAAGTTTTTGTTAACTTCAGAATGACTAAAAATAAATGCTGAGAATACATTTCACTTGAAGTTTTGTTGATATTCTTTGTTGATATTTTAGTAGCTAAAAATCATGAGTTAAGCCATTATTCTGACAGCTGCATGGATGAATGTTGGTTTGGATTTTAATAGCTGCTACTTTACTTTGCTTGACAATTCTTACAATACTCAACATAGCTGTTTTCTTAGGTCCATGCAAAAAATGAGTTTGGACACTGACAATTTTCACTGAGTGAGCAGAAAAGTGCTGAATCTACTAAATCTGATCTTATGAAGGGGAATAAAGCATTTTATGTAATGTATGATTCCCAGCCTGTTCCCACGGGGCTAGCGTATGCTCAACAACTAGTTTGTATTTTTGAAATTTACTGATGCGATGTGGACACATTAAAAGTTATGACCTGTCTCATTCCAGGCCATCTCTGTCAATGCAGGATTGTTGTCAGCAGTCCTCAATAGGGGTGGTGCCATTCTAGGCTTTTCTTTAGTAAATAGATGTTTTATTTGAAAAAGTTCTTATCAATGTTTTTGTGAGAAACACATATTAATAGTACTTTAATATTGAAGCAAAATATATATTTGAAGTTTACCTATTTTTTTTTTCCAAATGAACAGCAAAATGATTCCTAATGGATATTTGATGTTTGAAGATGAAAATTTCATTGAATCATCTGTTGCCAAATTAAATGCCTTACGTAAAAGTGGTCAGTTCTGTGATGTTAGACTCCAGGTAATTCTTTTCTTACTAAATATAAGTTGAATGGCTTTTCTTACTTATGCCATATTTTTGTATTGATTGAGACATGAGATTTTAGAACCCATTTTTTTCTGGAAGATACATTAAAATAGATATGTGTATATGTGTATTTATATGCTGCTTTGATCAGAGAAGTGAAACCATTGCATTTTTTTCAGCTATCTGAAGTAAACTGAAGATAGTATTGAGCATTGATTTTAAAAACTGATTGACCTGTGACATTCATATAGGGTATGCCCTTATACTGCTTTGATAGTGTATGTTATAAAATTCTTACCATCCTGTGGGTTTCTGCTGTGTTTTATACATAGGTGTGTGGACATGAGATGCTGGCACACAGAGCTGTGCTAGCTTGCTGTAGTCCCTACCTGTTTGAAATCTTCAATAGTGACAGTGATTCTCATGGGGTTTCTCATGTTAAGTTTGATGATCTCAATCCAGAAGCTGTTGAAGTTTTATTGAATTATGCCTATACTGCTCAGTAAGTATTTTTCTGAGAAATTAAATGGAGTAGATATTAATTAAAAATCAAAATAACTAAGTGAATTTTCCTCAACAGGTTGAAAGCTGATAAAGAATTAGTGAAAGATGTATACTCTGCAGCAAAGAAGTTGAAGATGGAGAGAGTTAAGCAGGTACAACTTTCAGCCTTCCTGAGACCTGTTCTCCTCTCTGAGAGCAGATAGGCCATGTTTTTGATGCTTAATTGGAAAAAAGTTGATTTTTCTGTCGAAGTGCTTATCGGCTAACCTTTCTCAGCTATTCAGCACCATAGAATTGATTTGAGTGCTGCCAGTACGTAATCCTTCTCCTGTTACCTTTCTGCTGGAAAGCTCACTGATGTAAAGTTTTGTATTTATGCACCACTACAAACAAAACATGTTCACTCATAACTAGTTATGTAACCAGTCAAGTTGATGCCAAGCGGTGTGCTTGGTTCTTGTGCAGGGCATAATTAGACCTGGATAAGTCTGTGTCTGTCATATATGAAAAATGAATAATCCACAAGCTCTCAATCATATCCTCTTGTTACAAGTGGAATGCCTTTAACCCGGTATCTTCTTCTAAATATGGAAAAGAGTTTTGAATAGGTGTTTTAAAGAAAAGCGTGTGTGTGTGTGTGTGTGTAAAATGTAGTTACTACATATGTATTACTCTTTTCTTTCAACTTGTGCTTGTTCTCGTGGTAGGTAACAGTGCTGTTTGGGTGACAAACTACAACAAACTCTGGAATGGGTAATTTAAACATGTAAAATTCTTGCCTAGTTGTAAGTTACAGTGCAGCCGTGTTTCCTGGCAGGTTTGTGGTGACTACTTGCTCTCCAAGATGGATATTCAGAGCTGCATCTCTTACCGAAACTTTGCAAGTTCCATGGGAGACTCACGTTTGTTGGGCAAGATTGATGGCTACATTCAGGAACATCTCTTACGTATTTCAGAACAGGAGGAATTTCTCAAACTTCCGCGGTTAAAGGTAAATTTAAGTCTGTAGGATTATTTTTGGCTCATGATTCTGCTGGAGGGAAGGAGATTAAAAAATTATATTTCTATATAACAACCCAAAGAATCATGACACTATTACAGCTTAGAAAAACWTTGTGTATTCTGAGTTATAACAACAACATGGGATTTCTTGATTTCCTTAAAATTCTCGCTGGCATAAAGCTAAGCGAGACATATACTCATATGGATATGGACATATATATGGAAGACATATACTGTCCATGCTTTCTTAGGGAGTATAAAATGTAACTGCAGTTGTACATAAACATGTTTTCTGTTTGCTGCAGCATAGGTAGAAAGTCCCTAGTAGACGGTGTTTTCTAGCTTTGCAGTAAAGGGAGAGTATTCTTTTAACGATAATGCTCACTCTGTAAAATACAGTATGCTAAAATTATAAGGGTAAAAACTATGCAGTAAATTATTCAGTAATTCACTTCCTTTCATCTTATAATTCAAGCTTGAAGTAATGCTTGAAGACAATGTTGGCCTACCCAGCAACGGCAAATTATACACAAAGGTAATCAACTGGGTACAGCGCAGCATCTGGGAGAATGGAGACAGCCTGGAAGAGCTGATGGAAGAGGTTAGTCTTTAAGAAAATGGGATTAAGCACCTTAAATCAATATGAAGGATGATCCCCTTTTTTTCTTCATTTTTTTCCATGTTTTTCCCCACCTTTTTTTTTTTAACTATGACCCTAAAGAATTTAAATTTTACTGTAGGTACCCTAAGCTGAGAAACTGGGGGGGTGTTCAGGTGAGCTGAATGAACTGTTCAGTCTGGTCTTCTGCTTTCCTTTTTTGCTCACTGTTTGCTGATTAGTAACTTCAAAGTGGCATGTATCTTGCTCTAGAATTGGGGAGGTGGTACTGAAACTGGCTGTAGATTCTTGATGTTTTCCTTTGCAGGTTTTGCTTGTAAATGAGAAGTAGGTAAAAGCTTCTAATGGTTGTTCCTCCCCGTTGATTTATCTCCCCATAGGTTTATTAACAAAACTAGGATACCAAGGCTGAAGAACCAAGAAGAAACCTCAAGTGTATTGACACGTACAGAAGCAGCAGTCCTGCCCCAGTTCTCCTAAGAAAATCCGCTGTGGGCAGAGAACGATGATGATGATTTAATGGTGTTTACTTACTCCTTTACAGGATATGCTATTTTAAAAGTTGTGTGTTGTTAAATGACTTAGAATACTCATAATAGATGTAGCCTGGGCAATTTTTAATGGAAAAAAAAAGTAGTGGGGAATCTCAATTTTTAATTGGCTGGAAAAAAAGTGGACTTCACTTAAAAAAAATCCATGAAACATCACCTTTTTTCCCATTTGTTGTAACAGTTATGATAGGCCTTCAAAACCCTTTTGTATAAGCAGAAGTATATTTGATACTGTCATATATTTTCATGTGTTGGAATAACTCTCTTTAAAAGTTTTAATTTACCATATGGAAATTCAGATGCATTTCATTGAAATGCGTGCATCTGAAGTCTAGTCACAGACAACAGTTTCTCCAGTCCTTAAATTCGTGTTGTCTTCCCTCAACCCCATACGTACCATTCTTTTAGAGTCCACTGTTGGCTTCTCTTTTGATCAAGATAAATATATGTATCTTTCAAAGCTGAAAATTTGTTTTTGCGGGGATAACAGAAATGATGCATGAGATGATGAATGTATATAATTCTGCAAATTAATGTGCATCTTGCCTGTCTAATGTTTCTGTGCTGGAAAAACAGTAGAAGTCCTTGGAAAATGAAGATTTCTTTCAAGCCGAGAAAGCAAGGAGCCTTCATCCAGTGTTTGAAGATTGCCACCATGACATCTGCTTCCTTTTAGTTTTGTCATTCTGCTAGATTGAGATGAGATGACGAGAAGTATGCTGGTGCCTGCCTTTTGTAATCTGCCTGTAGCTGAGTAGCACTGGAGACAGTAGCCACATGGGTATTCTGTTGTTGTTTTTGCAGGTTCAAACGCTGTACTACTCAGCTGATCACAAGCTGCTTGATGGAAATCTGCTAGATGGACAGGCTGAGGTGTATGGCAGTGATGATGACCACATTCAGTTTGTGCAGGTACCAATTGCAGACAGTCTGAGGTAACCTCAGGGAGACTGGAGCAGTTTACAACTCATGTAGTTTTGTGTCTTACAGCAAGTAGAGAGTAGCTTTAATGGTGAAATATGTTTTTCTCAAAACGACTGGAGGCGTCTAGTTGGTTCACCAGACAGAAACRGAGAGAGCGCTTCCGAAAGAGAGTGCTTCAGGCTTCAAACTCAACCTTAGGCTGTCACAAGAAAGAAAAGGTAGTGAAGCAGTCAGCTATAGCAAGAGCTTATGCAGYTCAGTAGAGATGTATAGGAAATCATACTTAAGCAATTGAAGAGAGTCATGGACTGTTTGGCTGGCAGTATGCCCGTTTATGCAAATAGTTTATGTAGTTGTTAAAATTTTGTCATAGAGAAACATTATAGACATAAGTTCTAATCCTTTAGATTCCCACATGCATCCTTCTTATTAAGATTTACTAACAGTGTGTAGGTGAGACTTGAAAAAGCAGCAGTAGATAATTGCTGGCTTGGAGGTGGCTGATGCTTTGACTTGTTTACAAATTACTGCTTCTGGAGGCAATGCTGGGGGTCAGGCACTCCAGCTGCTACAGTGCTGCTTCCCAGCTCCTGCAAAACAGCTTAGCACAACAAGCTGCCTAAGAAACAAAGAAGAAACAAGGGCTAATGGATCTAAATTAACAGTTGCTCTCTACAAACTTATGTTGAGAGCTAAAAGCAACTTTATGTTAATGTTTTAACTGATAATGGAGGAATGTGCTAGTATGAAAGCACGTTCCTTAAGGTATTCTCTTGTTTGTTTTTTAGTAAATTGTTYATGTAAAAATACTCTCCATCTAGGAGTATGGGTTTTAGATGTGAAAAGAAATGAAAAGGAAGAGCCAGCTCATCTTCTGCTTGTCTTAAATATTTATAACAAACTTTTACAGATGTCATAAGTTTGGATGCTATTCATTTAATTCTTAGAAGCTGATAGATGGACTTTCAAAAAATTATTTTCAGAAAGGAGATCAGGAGTTCTCTCCCCCTCCCCCCTCTTTTTTCACCCCCGCCTCTATCCTAAGAAGAATTGCCAATTTTGGAAACCTGCATCCAAATTTTGGAAACCTTCAACAGTCAAGAGAGTTACTAAAAACTATAGATAATGGCCTGGAAAAGCAATTTAAGGGTAGGAGAATATGCTGTGAATTGGATGAAGATTCAGAAATAACAAAAATCTACTCACAGGTAGATTGTTCTGTCATTCTGAATCTCTGAACTGAGTGTCAAATTGTTGTGGAGTGTCAAATTGCCATAAATCACCATATGTGGAGAAGTATGAGTTACATGGTAAACTGATGATAAAATGTCTTTATGGCAATTTCTATAAAATCATGTGCACTTCATGGAATCTGGTTTTTATAATGTTACAAATAAAATGATGGAGATGCAGATTTTTACTTCTGCTTCTCTCTTAAATTAGCAAAATAGTGTAAACTACAATATAAATTAAACTGAAGAAAGAAATTAGAGCTCTCCTGTTGATGGGACGTACAAGGAGTAAAATCCAAGAAACAGCTAATCTGAGCAGAGAGAGGAACTGAGGCAAAAATAATTTGTCTTCAAGGGATGAAGAGAATAGTTAATTCACTTGCAAGTGGCATTATGTTCCAGAGGAAGAGCTTGCAAGTTAGGCTTCTAGCTTGTAAATCATTTTTGTCTAAATGGGTGTAGGTTTTTTCTTACATCTAAAATTCCAATAATAATGCATACTTGACTTGTCCAGGAATTGAAAGTGATTTCTAGTCAGAGTGTGGCAGAACAGAAGCAGTGATCAGAGGCTGCAACAAGCACCGAAACATAGGATGTTCTCAGGCACTGTTGTTGAGAAGGTTGGTCAGATGTTCTGTTCTATTGTAGGTGTGCTATGCACGATGCTCTGCAGAGGCGGTAGTTAGCGTTTTCTTGAAAAGCTCACAGAAGTGAAGGTAGAAGGTTTCTGGCTAGGTTTCTGTACCTGCCTTTTGATTTTGCAGAAAAAGCCACCACGTGAGAAYGATCACAAGCAGATAAGTAGCAGCTCCTCTGGAAGTCTTTCTCCAAATGCTACTGTTCAGAGTCCTAAACATGAATGGAAAATCATTGCTTCAGAGAAAACATCAAGTGAGTATCTGAGTCTTTTTTGTTTTGTTTGGCTAAGATGTTTAGTATTGTGTGTTTACCACCCCATATACACTAGGGATCCCCTTTAGCATCTCTAAGACTCTCCAGGATCTGTTAATCTTTTGCATCTCCAAGAAGTCCCTGGGTGCTATTGGTTTAAAGCATGATTACATGTGGTTACCTTTCTCCTGGCTGCAGGTAATACGTACCTGTGTCTCGCTGTTCTGRACGGTGTGCTGTGCGTGATATTCCTGCACGGGCGCAGCAGCCCGCAGAGCTCGCCCACGAGCACCCCGCGCCTGCTCAAGAGCCTCAGCTTCGAGCTGCAGCCCAGCGATGTCGTAGAGAAGCCCATGGCTCCTATGCAGTACGCCCGGTCGGGACTGGGGACAGCTGAGCTTAATGGCAAGCTCATAGCTGCAGGTAAAAGAAAGAGTTCTTTAAAACCACCTGCTCAATTGGTTTTCTATAAACAGCGTTTTCTGTTTTACAGAGGCAGTGTTCTTTAGCTTCCAAGCAATTGTTTTTTGGAAATTTGATACCGTCTGACCTTTTGCTTCTGGCTTTAGGCGGGTATAACCGAGAGGAGTGTTTGCGCACCGTGGAGTGCTATGATCCGCAGAAGGACTCTTGGACTTTCATCGCACCCATGAGAACACCAAGAGCTCGATTCCAAATGGCAGTTCTCATGGTATGTGGTGGGTGGAGATGTGAAAATGTTCAGTTATGTAAATCAATTAAGTAGGAGGGATAAACGTGGCAAACTTAATAAGAATAGCAACAGAAGGTGCTTTATTATAGTAAGGTTAATAAAGTGATGAGTTGAATTGCTTTTTAGCATGTTAAACAGATGCTTATTTCTTGCATTGTAGGGTCAGCTGTATGTTGTGGGTGGGTCAAATGGTCACTCGGATGACTTGAGCTGTGGAGAAATGTATGAGCCAGAAATAGATGACTGGACTCCTGTTCCAGAACTGAGGACCAATCGCTGCAATGCAGGTAATGGATCTGCAGCTGACTGTCTGTCCATGCTCGCCCCTTACTTAACTTACCAGCTTACTTGGGTTTTTTATTTATGTGAACAGGCGTATGTGCCCTGAATGGAAAGCTGTACATTGTCGGTGGTTCGGATCCTTATGGTCAAAAGGGACTTAAGAACTGTGATGTATTTGATCCAGTAACAAAATCTTGGACAAGCTGTGCCCCCCTTAATATCCGTGAGTTTGTTGCAAGGTTTAAGGTGGGGAGGGAGGAGGGACTATGGCAAAACTGCAGATCTCTTGATGAAATSTCTTAAGTTTCAAACGCTGTGGTTAGTGTGGGCCTGCAGTGGCTGGCGGTAACTCGTGGCTTTTGCTTTGTAGGGAGACATCAGTCTGCAGTTTGTGAGCTCGGTGGGTATTTGTATATAATTGGAGGAGCAGAGTCGTGGAACTGCCTGAGCAGCGTGGAGCGCTACAATCCAGAGAACAACACGTGGACGCTGCTCGCGCCCATGAAYGTGGCGCGGCGCGGGGCTGGCGTGGCTGTGCACGATGGTAGGCGCYGCGCTCGCGTGGCCGCTTGTGCGCYGGGAACATTGACGCGTTAAGCTCCAGTGTGAGCAGAGGCAAAGCTGTGTTGCTTGCCAGGGAGGAGAGGGTTCAGGAAGAAACTGTCCCTTCAATAAAATCAAAAACCGTAAYCAGAGAATGGAAGAACTTCATTTTTGAGGTATTCCTTTTCAAAAATTGCACTGTGCAGCTTCTGCTCATGCAGAATCTGGACCTGGCTGAAATTATTGCTGAGGAGGTGCAACAGTTCTAATTATTAAGAGAAGCAAAGCAGGTTCCTGCTGTAACTTCAGAACCTGAATCCAGCAAAGATTTATCACAGGAAATCTTAAATTCACTTGTTTTGGCTTAGTTTGCCACCTTGAAGATGCTCTGTATTTGGTGACGTGCTTGTTGCCTCGCAGTTAAGCAGCCATTTTCTTTCCTTCTGCTAGGGAAACTCTTCGTTGGTGGAGGCTTTGATGGCTCTCACGCAGTGAGCTGCGTGGAGATGTACGACCCCGCTACAAACGAGTGGAGGATGATGGCCAGCATGACAACACCCCGCAGCAACGCCGGCATCACCACCGTGGCAAACACCATCTACGCCGTGGGGGGCTTTGACGGCAACGAGTTCCTCAACACCGTGGAAGTCTACAACCTGGAATCAAACGAATGGAGCCCCTACACAAAGAATTTCAAGTTTTAAGTGATTTACGTTCCCTTTTCAAACTAACAGGCTTAGTGATGTAATTGTGTTTTAGTAGAGGTACACTTGTGTATAGGGTGGGGGTGGGCCTAGATGTTGCCAACAGCAACACAGAGCTTTTGCATATTGCATATTAATGTGCTGTACATACTTGTTTTGGAAAGAATACCAAGATGAAGGGTTTTTGTGCATCTTAGAATTTTGTTTTAGATTTTCCTTTTTTAAAGATTTTGAAGATATTGCAAGAGAAACTAGACTGGGCATATCATTTCAGGAGCTTCCCCCAGTGTTTGTTTTGCCACTTTGCACAATAAATGACTTTTTTCTGTAGAATGTGTCTACGGGGCAGGAAGTGTAAGGGGTTTTTTTGGGGGGTAGTTAGTTGTTTCATCAAGCCTTGTTTTTCTTCAGTAACTGGAACAATCTGTAACAAGAAGCCTTATTTAAATAGATATAATGGCTATTTTTTTTATTAAAAACGCTGACATGCCTGCCAATACCTAATCTTTTACGATTGCCTTTTTATAACAGTTTTTATATACTCAGCAGAGTATTCTGTCTGTTGAAATGAAAATGGCAGATAAAGGGTTACTGAAGCAAAGAGACAATCTTGGAGTTCATAGAGACAGAGTGGGCCACCTAACTTACCACTGTACGTGAGCTTCTAAGCTTTTGCCTCTGCTACAGTATTGTAAGTTAATATGCAAAAGTTTCAGTAGATCTGAATGGAGTTCCTGAACATAACATAGCTGTGACTTTTTAGTATTGAAGAATTATTTTGGCTCCAACTCTTTGACAAATGCAGGGGGTACTTTATGTACAGCAGTTTTATTATGATGGTTGAGCTAACATTTGTAAAACAAGAGCTAAAGGGTTGKTTTTTTTCTCATGTTTTTAAAACTATTTCCTGTTGCAAAGAAAAGGTATTCATCTGACTAGTAACGGTGTTAGGTTTATTTTTCTAATATTACAAGCTGAAACTGTGCTAGAATACAAATGATTTTGTATGTGCTCATAGTACTATGTTGTAGTTCACTTTCTCTATTCACATGGAAACAATGTTGGGTAGGATGACTTGGTGTCTAATGTGTAGTGCTGCACACCTAACTCCAGTGCCAAAACTAGCACTTACTGCTTGCTGCTGCTGCAAACACATTAAAGGTACCTTTTGGGAAATCCTTGCACCACAGGATTGCTGTAAATTGTGTTCGTGTCCTTTCTTTAGGAGGAGAGTTTACACACACATTTGCCACCCTAGAAACAAAATCTCACATAGATGTAGACACGCAGGCCAGCAYGGATTCAAGGGACCATAAACATCTAGAATCAACTATTTATTATAACAATAAATTAGTTTTTTGTTTTTTACAATCAAGATTTTACTAATACATTCAAAAGTTTAATATTAAAAATAAACATCTAGAACTGTRCCAGTTCTTTCTGTACAAGTACGTACACTGAAGAGGTAGCTTCAAAGGCCCCAGCAGCCTGAAAATGGCTTTTAGAAAGTTCCCTCAACTTAAATCTGCTTTGGAAAGAAACAGGYGAGCTGTTCAGAGAGAGCTGTCACCTGAAGAGCTGTGACAGGCAAGGCCTGGATTAGAACCTGCAGCGACCAAYACCCCCAAACACTTGCCTTGACAGACAGGGAAACCGAACAGAAGGAGCAGGGAGGTTACAGGAGCTTTTCTGAAAAAAAAAGTCTACAGTAGCAGAGCTACTACAATTAAGAGGGTATTTCAATGAAGGAAAAAATACTGTCTTCCTTCAAACTTAGTAAAATCATTTATAATTAGCATGCTTAATTACAAGCCTAATATAGTTGGATTGTTGTCACTGTCTTGAAGACCTTTTTTTCTCCCAGAGATTAGATACTCCCTGTATGTTGAGAAAAGCATTAAAAACAGTATTTATCCTGGACGTGACAGATTTTTTAAATTCAATTCCTTTCCCCTGCTACATCTCAAGCCTTGTGTTGCAGAAGGTAGGGCAAGAGCCACGCTCCACCTTTGTTCAAATCCTTCCTTTCTASGCAGTAAACAGCAGAGGGACCTGCCTGAGGCAGCCCCTCTCCCTTGTCCTTTCAGCAGCCTAGCTCTCAACGCAGTTTGTTCCTCATCTTCCCCCGCTTTCCTTCATGTATTTAATCTACAAAAAACCCAACTCCCTCACACTTGTCTTGCTAAATAAACAGGAGCAACAGATCCAACCTCTCAAGAACAGGTAACATGAACTCTTTTGGAGCTTAGAACTGATGTTTTAAACTCACCGTCATTGTGGATTCTGAGCTGCTGCCATATCCAGTTAGAGCCCCTCTGAAGACAGAAAATTCTACTAAGCTGCAGTTCTTGGCAGACATTCTGACTTTTAAGGATTTATATATGTAATCATTTTTATTTTAACACATACAAAACAGCACCATGAGGTAAAAAAGGCAGATTTTTTGGCTCCTCCGATACCTTTTCCCCTTCCCTATCCMAGGAGTCATCCTTAGTTTGGACAAAGCAAGTACAGGGGGTGAGCGCGGCAGCTCCAAACCTTGCCTGAGGCGTCACAGCCAGCCCCTGCTTTTTGCCTCCATGTGAACGGACGCGTTGCACTGCTTAATAGTGTGTTCCAGCTGAGCCAACTGGCAGCAGCCAACGGCCAGCCTTTCTCTGGGGAAGAAAAGACAGACTGTCAAGAAGAAAGGAACTACCTTCTATGGCACAATGTCCAGTTCAAATTGACATGACATGTTGGAGAGGAATGTGGGAAAGAACACAAGGGCAGTGCTCTCCTTTGGCAAGTTATCACAAGGTAAATGCACTGAGTCACAAAGGGCAGTACAAAAATAACATAGAGCTTTGTAGGTTTGCTACTTGGATGCGCATGGCTCCAAACAACACATTTCCTTAGCTTAGGCAAGCTTAGAGACTTGCAAAACAGAGCTTGGATAATTCTTCCTATCACTTAGCCTTTAAATCAAACTATAATTTATAAAAGAGTATCAACTGTCACGTGTTCCTTACCAGGGAAAACTCCACGGCCTTGGAAACTACTCAGTGCATGACTTGTATTCAGGCCATGACAACTATGGTGCCCTCTCTGAATCTTGTTTGCAATCTGGTAATACTAAAGAATAATTTTCCAACTCAGATGAAAATAATCTGTAAGCCTTTTACACATTAGCAGAACTATTCTTCTTACCCTAGTAAGGTACACCTAGTTTATAGCCACAAAACAGGAACATCAAAGAAAATATTTACCTGAGTTTTGTATTAGTTTAACTGTAAAAAAGCCTCCTAAATCAAGACGGTAATTGGAAACTTAAGTTTGAGCTGCTTCTCCTCTTTTTCCATCTGTACTTAGTAAGCTTAATTACAAGCAATGACTGTGGACAGTGCTATTTTCATGGAGAGAAAATTTAGACACATTCTCAGGCCTCCAGAAGCACAGAGCTGGTCCACCCTCATCTCCAGAATCAAACTGGAGCTAAAGGCTGAGTTGAAAGACTGACTCTATGTAGTAAACAAACGAGTGTCATATTTTTTTTAAGCAAAYAAAGTTATCTTACAACACTTCAGTTAATTCAGTACAGGCTACAGTTTTTCTGGAAACACATTTAATTTGGTCATAATTGGCTTACCTGTATGTTTCTTGTGAAACACACTCATAAAGCTCCTCAGCAGTAAATTTTACACTGCTATTTATCTAAAATRAAGAACAAATGATTCACATACTAATTTACCAAATAGAATATACTAATTAAAATCATACAGCTTGTACAGCACAAGGTTATCTAACAATCTCAAGTTTAGACTATGGATAAGAAAGTCATGCTATGTGGTGTAATTCAGCACCACTCCTGTATATATTAGAAATGGAGTTATCACTCGAAGCTCATTTTTAAACAACTTTTGGATAAATATGTTTTTTTTGCTATGTCTGATGTCTAATAAATAAGATCAAGTCCGGTATTAGATAAAACATTAAAGAAAAATTAATACCTCATTGCTTATGACGAAGTTATAAAGGGTCCAGATATCTTGAAAAGTACTGTTTGGGGCCAGGATTCTGGGAAAGAAGAAGAAAAAATCCATTTTTACAACTCTTTTAAGGATTCTATTTCATAAAAAAAGTCAGAAATGCATCATGAAAACTAATTACTTTCTTAAAAAAAAATACCACAAAAACCAAAAGATAAATCATGATCTTTGAAGAATTTTCCCTTCCATTCCTTTCCACTGCCTCCAAAAGAATTAAATGAGCTTATCCTGTCTATGAGAATATCCTAACAAAAGTTTTTCCTAATTAAAAATTCAACTGATGTTTTTATGAGCTATTTCTCTACATAGGCAGAAAGAAAACCACCGATAACTGAACRCTTTTTGTTTCACAGAGCAAAGGCTCTTGTGTTAATGTGGAGCAGCAGAAAACTGACACCGCAAGCAAAACTTTCCCACACTAGTCAGAGCTCCACCTCATTCCCTCCAGTATTTTTACACACAGTTCAAAATTTACCTTTTAACATCATGTTTTTGCTACTTCTAATAAAAGCCAGACAATTACACACACAACACAGAGAAGTGAAAGGAGGATTTAGTGAAGAACCAAGGTTCACGTGCAATCGTRCTATTTCCTTCAGTCACTGCCAGTACGTGGCAGCCAGAAACAGCTCAATTTTCCCCCAAATCTAGTTATTTGACATGCTGCAAACAGAGATACCTACCACAAAAAAAAGCACTCGCTTTGGTCTCTCCTTACAACCCTGTGAGGCTATGAGATATGCAAGCCTTCCTCCATAAATTCCTTCTAATGATCCAAAAAGGAAACAATCCTCTCTCTCAAAAAAAGAGAAATCTATCTAGTTAAATAGATATAATTCATCTCTATCTCAGTGYAACCTTCTGTGTACTCACTAGGGGGGAAAAAACTGAGAAGTACATTACATTAAATATTATATAACACTTCATATATTTAAAAAATCTGATAACGTTTTGCCTATATTAAATTTTAAGTATCTATTTAGATAAAGAAAATGACTTAACATTAGAAAAAAATCTGGTTTTTGGAAGCTCTTCTAGCTTTCCCATGGGAAAGTATCCAAATTCTTTCCTCCCTTCCCCCACCTTGTAATTGGGAGCCTTTATAAATGAAGTAACTAGGAACAAAAAAAAAAAANAAAGAAAACCACACCACCAATCAAAACACAAAATCTTAGTTAAAAAAGGCAACATATTTTAAACAAGTGGAAAGACGATGATAAATCTTGAAGTATAATACAATTACCAAGTTGGATGCTTTCATTCCTACATAAAATCAGGTAGGAATGAAAGTAGAGCAGTTAGTTAACACAAATTAATCACATGCTCTTTCTCCCTAAGACGAAYGTACCCTGTTTTTTTATTTTTCCTTTTTTCAACGTAAGGCAACCTCAGCAGCCCACAGCTTCGGCCGCCCCAGCATCATGGACAGCAGCAAGAAACTCAGAGAGCAAAGCCTGGGAACGGCTGCTTTCCATTTGGTTTGTACCAGTCTGCCTTYTGTTTTACATGGAAAGGAGCAAAACTTGTGTCTTTAGCAGTTATCTTCATGAGACAGAACACAGCATAAAACACGTGGAAGGTAAAACATTACTCACACCTTGACCTGAGTGTCACTATATGCTGCCACGCAAGCAGCGGGGCAAAACACGCTCCTACCAGGGCTTTTCCTGCCGTGGCAGGAGTCACAGCGGGCAGGCGGGGGACACACTCATTCCCCCCATCCATCTGCCACCATCCCTGAATCCTGGTGCTGATCAGGATGCTGCAGACTGCAGAGCAGGTTCACTGGGGTTTCCTACATGAGGCATTGAACAAGGCAACCCTAACTGCTGCTCCTCCTGGTTGTTTGCGAGGACTCCAAACTGGAAAGCATCCTTACTTTTGCACGGGTGACCCAAGCACCTCAGCAAGCTGCTAACACCAGCACCTGGGCCCATCCCAACTACCAGATCCCAGGTGGGTGTAGAAGCTGTCTGGGCTTCCAGTACTTTGGAAACGTGAAGTAAGATGTGTAAATAACCATGTAAGAAATTTTAACATTTAACTCCGTAACTTATTTTGGGAGGCGGGGGGGGGGGGGGGATAGCCATAATGATAATTTCTAGGTTCACAATATCTGAGGTCTAAGATTTGGCTAAATGTGTTACAGTATCTTCAAATAAAAGACGTTTGTTGTTTTCAATGAACAAACATTGTTACATGAAGTGCTCAAAAGAATCTGGTGAGAGAACAACTTACATATTAACGCCCCCCACAAATTCTTACCAGGTCAGCATTCACTACGAAACGGTTATTATTGTTCCTAGCTAAATACGAAGTGCAATACAAGTTCCAATCTTGGAATACTTCTTACTTTTCCCCCCTCACAAAAGTYGTCAGCAGGGCAATCATTTCACGCTGCTGTCAACTGCTTTTAACGGTTCCATTCACGCCCTGTAACCACCACTCTACCCTGAGAATTTTTAAGAGGGTGAAGAGAATGGTTAAGGTATTGCCAGAAACAGGAAAATGTTTGCAAGCGCATTTATTCTTGAATCATGTTCTCRTTTTCAAAGTCTCTCTATGGAAAAGATTGCTCGGGTACAGAAGCAGCTCTGCAAAGCAACTGCTCAGTCAGTCACATGTGAAGCAAACAGGCTCTTATGTAAGAGTATGGAGCCTGGGTCGTGCACTTCATCTTTTRATCACTCCCAACTCCATGCTTTGAGCAGGCGGTGGCAAAGATGCTGGGTGACCTAAGGGTTGGCTTGCTGCTAAATGCAGCTTGCTCTTGCCTCAAGCTATGAACCTGACAAGCAAAGCCTATCATAAAGGAATCAGAAATTTAACAAATAGATGAGAAAAAGTACCCTGGCACTGAAAGCAGGCCAGCCTGCCCCCATGAACACCAAAACACTGGCCAACAAGTGAAGCATGTGGCTACCAAGTAGCAGCGACCTCTCATAAATCTGGCCAAATCACCGCAACTCACTGCTTGCTCCATACTGAGCCCTTCCTCTTAGGCCTTCTCTGTAGCTGGTAGAATAAAATTGATGAAACTGCCACAAAAATTAACCAATTTGATGAATCCATGAGCTTAATGARGATACATGATTTAACTGCACTTAAGTCAATCCATTAAGAACCCTGCTTAATCTTAAACTCAGAAGAGCAGAGGGGAAAATAGTTGAGAAATGGAAAATAAAACCTGCATGAAACTTAAAATCTCGATAACAATTCTTCATTACACTGTGCTGGCATGAGGGACTTGGGCAAGTACTTTTCTAATGATAAACACATACTTGAGACTTCTGTCCACTGGGAAATTACAAGTATTTCTTTCCCAAAGTAAGAAGCTAAGGTCATACTTGCTTCTATAGAAACACACTTTTGATGCCAGATTCTAGAACCACTTTGGAGAGATGCCCATTCTGCAGCTTTACAGGGTCAAAAAGGACCATGGCTTTTACAAGATTAATTTATTTACTTAAGGGAGACCCAAGAACTTCTTTGCTTCCTGCTGAGTTAACGGCAATGAGGCTTAAGCCCCACACCATGCCAAGCATTGGCCACTTGCAACTGTATCTCACAGAGGGAGATACTCAATTATTTTGGTTTCTTACAGCTGTTATAAGAATGGGCAGCGGGGCAAGGAGCCCAGGCAGACCCCCAGGCTGCAGCCAAGTTCACCTGAACTAGCAGACTGCAGTGAATCCACATASAGAAAAAAAGGAAGAGAAACTCTGATCAGATATTTCACATTTTCAACTGTATCTTGGACATAATGCATCAACTACAAGAGTCCTTAAAAAGGATGAGCTTTATGTTGCCATTTGTGCAAGGTTACTTTTTCTCAGTAACTGCAGGGACATTTTCATGTTAGTGCTGACCTCTAAAGAGAGGGAAATTTCTCCCTACAGTCCCTGCCTCCAAGCTGCCTGTTCAGACCTTCATCCGCCTCTAATCCTGCTCTGAGCTGTGCTCATCTGACTGTGCGTTGTCACACTCCAAACGGGATTAGGAGGCAGAGATTAAAAACCTCTTTTTCCTCACCCCCCAGAGCCGAGTTTGCCAAATTAGGCAAATTATGTATTATTTATAACGGATAGCACAAGCACAACATTCCTGAGAAGATCTTAAAACTCAATATATTTCTGTATTTAAAATGTTTGTACAGTCCTCCATCAAGTTAGTGCTCTCYCAGCAACAGCATCAGAAATGTATTAAGCCCAAATTCCATTTAGATATAATATTAGACAAGCAGAGTTTTACGGTACCTACTACAGTATGTAACATACAAATATTTTACATCTCCCCATACGTGATCCTAAGCGCTTAGGAGCATTTAATGGTATTTGCTGTAAACTCTGAGCCTTGGCATGAGGACAAAATATTTTTACTAGTGTACAATAAAAAATAACTTTTCTTAGTATATCGATTAAAAAAACCACCAGATTGAAATAACCATATTAATTCACCAATGATTATGCCTTTTTTTTTTTCTTTCTTTTTGTTATTCCCTATCTAGAAGTAACTTAAGCAGGAAACACAAAGGCAGTAAATTTTTCRTCAAGTAAAATTATCTGAGGGCGCATATGGGCTCATAAACCATAATTTACACTTCTGGCTTACATAAATCCCTACACATAAATTAAATCCTACTAACCAAGTTTCCTTATCCTTTCAAGGGTTAATTCTAACATTTCCATCAATTTATTAAGGGAAATATTTAACAGCAACAAGACAAAAGAAATACATTTCAGAAGGGATCACAAAAAGCTGCAAGTACAGTAAGTATAATTTTCTACTAGCTTAGGTGCACACCTCAATATGAATACAAGCAGCTAGCTACGTGTAGAACAAATCTATGTTCACTTATTTACCTCATTAGTAAAATGCCTCATTAATCAGTTCCAAATAATACACAAATACAAGTGTTAGCCATCAGAAATATTATCCACTCCACATTTACTTTAAAACGTTTAARTTGTATAAAACAGCTTATAAAACCACACCACTTTGGTATACCTGAAGGAGGCTGATAAATTTTCCAAAGCAGTTCATGCAAGCAAAGCAGTCAATCACAGTGATTTACAAGTAAACARACAGAGCTCCTGACTGCTTTTGGAAAATTAGTTAGAAGTTTCCAGCTCATTTTAATATCTATGTTGAGAACGAAAATGAAAGATTATAAAATTCAGGTTCCTGAATTTCTTGCTCCATGATGCCCCCTACTGCAAATACACAGCACAAACTTAGGGCAAACATTTCTTAATGAAGCTTTTAAAGAAAAGCACTCAGAGAACACCCTAGATGTTATYTCAGCGTYTTTTTTTTTTTTTTTAAACTGATCATTACATAACCAAGCACTCAGAATAGATTGTAGTTTGGCATCAAAAATATAACTTTTTATGACRTATGAATAGTTTAAGAACTTACCTACGAATTCCTTCAAGGATATCATTCACAGCTGCTATCAGTTTTTGCAGGCCTAAAAAAGCTTCTTCAAATGAAGACTTCGAAGTAACAGCTACTGTGCTGGGGTCCAACTTCTGAAATATTTCTACACTAATATTGGAAAGAAACAATGAAAAATCTTAATTACAATCTTAATTACTAATAGCTTCGTATTAATAGCTTATTCTCCAGAATAAGGAGAAAAAAAAACAAAAGAAAACACACTTTCCAAAGTACATTTGTTGGAAAATAACATGAAGTTGTATCAAAATTGTGAATTTATTTAGCACACTGTACCTGTATAAGTTTATTGTATTCCATACACCTTCCAAGACTGACCAGATTTCCTGGTGTCTGTTTTCTTGAGCCACGTGGGTATTTGAATGCAACTTTTTTTCTTCACAATTTTGCAGATTTGGTGTCACTGCTTCCATTTTTTCACATACAGCATTTTCTGAAAGGACCATGGTGTCTTCTGACAAATCCTGTCCACTGTCTGATTTTACCTTATGAAACAGTTCAGTAAACAATGTTTCCAGATTTTAACTTAAGAAAAGTTGAAAACTTTAACATGTTTAGTTCTTTTTCTTTTTCCTTTTTAAACAATGCTCATAAAGCAAGGCAGATCTCTTGTAGTCATAACCATATCTACTACTGTCCATTTTTCTTAAGTATCTCTCAATTCTTCACCAAATCTTTCTTCTGTAAGTATTAGAATTTCTGTAGATAGTAAACTAAAGCAAAGGGAAAGCTTTAGAGGATTGGTAAGCTGCTAAAAGCTCTCTTTTTTTTACACCGTTATGTACAGAATTAGGAAGCTACACAAATCAAGACACTGAAATATCTTTCACAGCATCGTAGAGCTGAGAAGAAGTAAAAGCATACTTTCCAGAATGCAGAAGATACCAGCACATTTCCCATTAAATATCACCAAGCACATAATATACCCAAGTCTTTCCTTAATACAGAAGAATGGAGCTAGTAAGACAATAAAAGCTGAAATAATATACTTAGAAATAATAATATCAGGCCAGTAGAACACATAGAAYAGAGCAATCTAAGACAAGCTTAAGTGGAACATGGAGCAACTTTAAGACTATGCCAGGAGAATGCCTACTGAAGCTCCCCTTACCTCTGTAAGTGTTTGGTGGAGCTTACTGACTTCAGCGTAAGCCYGAGGAAGCACACCATTGTAGTCTGACCTTGAACTGAAAGCATGCAGCAGGTTTTTGGATTCCTGGAGCAACATACCAGCTGTCGAGGAGTCAACTGCTTGAGCTGATTTAATGTTAAGAGGAAAGTGGGAAATAAAAAAAAAGAAATAAAAAAAAAAGAAATAGCGATGTTAGGAGTTACCAGTCTTAGGAGGAAAAATTAATACTCAAATATGTAAATTAATTGAAATATATAAGAAGTCTGGAAAATAGTACAAAAACATTAGGCAAAAGAGTCTCTAAAGAAATATTAACAACACTGTGCAGGGTTAAGACTTGTGCTTCTTAATCGAGTAACCTCAACTCATCCCAGACCTGATAAGAAGTTCAACAGACCTACTATCTAGCATATTCCTGCAGAACAAATACCCCAAACAGCCGTATTTGTTAAAATCTTTAACACTGAACAAATGAAAGTTTTTCTCTTCTTTTTGAAAACAAAYTTGTCTTGGTCACATCTGCCATATTAGAGAGATTTTGCTTCTTCCCAATTTATTAGGCAAATGCAGGTCAATARATGAACTCTATAACTACATCTAATTTGGCAGCGAAGGAGGGAGAAGAGAAATACATTTCAGAACCCATTTGCTTCTCTTTTTTTTTTTTTTTAAATGAAGTTATCCTCTGTTCAATTTCAGTTCACTCCTGACTCTACACACAATAACATTATTGAGATTTTTTTCACGCACCTGGGTGAAAAGTTGTAGATTCATATGAAAATTGATAATAGGTCCAATATATAGCTCCCCTTGGATAATTTGTCTTTGAATATAAAAGGCAGAAAAGGATAGAATATAATACTATTTAAAAATACAGAGTATGTGCCTTTTCATGGTGTCTACTTTTGTAACTCTAACTACAAAAGACAGAACAAGTTTATTTGAAAATGTACAAACATTCTCGGAGATTCTTACYTGTACAGAGGTGTTTATAGAGATATTCAACAGTTGCAAGTAAACTCCTCGGCACAATATGACCAAAAACAGCCACCCAGTGTTTTTTATAACACTGCAGTAAGCTTGCTAATGTCCATGGTGGCTTCAGRTACAGTATCTGTAAAACAGTATGTTTAAAATTTGAAGCTGATTTTCATATAMACATATTACTATACATTTTACACCAATTCTTTTTTTTAATGTCTGTTCTCATTTGTGCTCACTGAAATAGTATTCCAAAGGTTCCTCAGAAATAAGATTTATCTAACTTTAACAAGTCTGTCGTTTAAAAGTCGTTTAAAGTCGTTAAAAGTTGTTTAAAAACGATTCAGCAGCAGCATGAGTTACACATGAGTTACACAGAGGTGTTCACTTAGAAGTGTATGCTGTACTACAGTAATTCTAACTATCATGATTTTTGCGTTCCTCTTTTCTCAAGTAGTACAAATGTACTTGAGTAATCTCTCAAAGCAGAATACTCAATAAACAAGAACTACAATAACAATACATCTTTACCTACTATTATTAAGAAAAGCACAAGTAAACCTTATTTTGCATAACTATGACTCTACATAAAGTAATATATAAAAACACAATTTAGTATTTCCCAAGAAAATGTAAATATGTTAACCAGAACCAAGACAGTCAAAAAYGCCTAAAAGTTAACAGCTAATCAAAGCTTCGTCTTGTGACGAAGGAATCATTCTACTCAAGTGAGGAGCTGAGGGTTGCTTTTTCTTTTTTTGTGTATGTGTGTGTGTGGGGGGTAACGTCATACYGTAATTTCACAAAAGTGATCACTTTCCATGTTGACCTTGCATATGAAATCATATAGCAATAACCTTCACTGATAGGCAAAATTATAAATTATAAAATATCCTCAAAATCCCTTTGGTTCAAATCAAGCACAGGAAAAAGGTAACTAACCTTTCTAACCTTTTCCACAAATTTCCCTAAACACTTTGAAAMGATAAATATTCATTATCTTGTCACTTTACATTAAAATGATAACTGCTTCATAATAAAAAGTTCTTAAATACGGCTGATAGCAAAATGTTTCAAGTTCTCCAAAACTTAAATGTTTTTAACCATACTAGAAAATAAAGTCTAAATGCAATGTAATTAATACAGAGGGCTGTGAAAAAAAAATCACTCCTGGAACTCCTAAAATTTCTACTGCTGCATTACTAAAACACTGCACAGTCATTATTGGTCAAATCACATAATCTTGTTATAAAGCCAAATAGTATAACTGAATATTGTATTATGTTAGTGATATAAATAACTACATTGTTCGGTTTTAGCAGAAGTATCAACAACATAAAGACACCAATTTGACTTAAACACCTTAATATTTGAAATATCAAACAAGACAACATAAGAAACCACCTCCATCCACAGGTTTCCAAAAGCAATTTTCATTTCAGTCTCCAAAATACTAGATAAAGCTTCTCCTAAGTTCTTTTCAAGGTCTGGAAGTATACTTGGGAATTGAGTAGTAAGATAAGCATTTCCTTCTATTTTCTGGAATTCCGTATCTGTCAAATCAGGGACAATAAAAAGAATTTATTGCAACTGTTTCTGTATCTAATTTATGTGGACAGTACACAAATTACTTACTATAAATAAAAGGAAATAYAGAATGCCTTTCTATATTATGTTACAATGCAGACATTTTCAAGTATTTCTAGTTAAACACACTTTTATTACTTTTAATTATAAGCTGCTAATGAAGAAGAACCAATTTCCCCAGAGYATTATTCATTTGTGATCTTACTCCACATTCATTCTTTCCCTTTAAGTAACTTCTATACAGCTAGAGGGATTATTGGCAAGTATAATGAAATCACTTCTTACACCTATTTAATACAAACAACTGTATTTGCACCTTTAGAAACAGGATCAGGCATTACAAAAAACAGGTTCTACTCTTTGGGATGCCAGTAAAGCTCTCATTCTAAAACACTAAAGAGCAACCTTAGATACCAAGTTTTATAACTAATAGGAATGGGACTCAAACTGAGACAAGTGGATATAACTCTTTTCAGTCCAAAGGACTGCTGAGGACACCTTTTAAAAAGCTATATAAATATAGGAAATTGATGTTGTGTTCTGTAAATAAAAATATGTAATATTGGAATGTTCTGGAATTTTAAGAGACACTTAATAAACATCTCAATCTTTCAGAAGACTGCTCCAAACACAATGACAGTCAAAATTCAAGGTATATGAAAATGGAGCTAACAGTGGAGACTATTCTGTCTCCCCTATATTGACTACTACGTACAGCTGCTCACTTTCGAAACACGTGCCCATCAAACAAACTTACCACATTTGGACTGTTGCAGATCAACACAGTTCTGCTGTTTGTTAACATTCAGATTCTGTAGAGCAGTAACCAAGTCTGCTTTGCAGAATGCCTTTACCTCACTCACAATGGCCTTATTGCATAAATTCTTATCATCCCTACAAGAGAATTAACTTTTGACATAAAACTGACATGGTTACATACTAAATAAGTCACAAATTAAGTAATACACTGAAAAATTTGCCTTCAGTAAGCTTACTTTGTGAGCTTCACGATATGCAAAGTTTTCCTTCTCAAGCAATTAGAAACAGTTCAAAAAAAATAGACTACAAAATTAACCAAAGCAGCTATGTCTAATGCTGTGATCTCAGGATGCAAATAAAGCAATGTTGGCAAGTAACATTTTATTACATGGACATTATAAAACCCAGTTCTACAAACTTATTTTTTACAGTCCTACTGGCCAAATCGTCATCACAAACGCTCCTCTGAGTAGCYGAACTACTAGAGATGGACAGTACAAAGCTAGATTCTACTACTGCCTCCAAATTCCAATTGCTTACGCTGACGTACGAAAGGATATTGGGATTCAGATGAAGAATACTTTAAAGTCACCTCCTGCTCTATTTTCAGAGAAATCTAAAACCATTAGAGACAACCAAACCCATGCTGTGATTGTGATATCCTCTTACTGAAGTAATATTGGATTTTTTTTTTTAATAAAAGCTGCTCAAAATCAGGAAATATTGGCCTTTAAAAACCAGCTTCACATGCCTTGTATCAAATCAAGAATCAACTCTCAGAAGTCAAGATTCACAGAACAAGAGCAGAGGCAAATCTTCACCTTCCCTCTTCCTCAGATTAACACTCATCACTGTTTTTCTCCTCCAAAGAGGTGGGCAGAAATTAGCTAACTGGATGTCAGTCATAAATACAATTACTTTTTCAATTTCATAACACCAATATATTTTTAATAAGAAATTGGAATAAAATCCCAGATGAGTATTCTTTAAAAGTTTTACAATTGAAGCTTGAATAAAATTAGTTCTGTTCAAGTGCACAAGGTGACAAAGTCTACAACTTTTATAGTTTCTTACAACCTTCCTACTTTAAGTTTTAAGAGATCTCAAAAAGCTTATTTTGAAAGCAGCTCTGCATTTTAAGACAAGATTTGAAAACGCCACATTTATCAGGGGACCTCCTCATATACCTTGTAACAGACCTAGAAACACACAGGAACTCACGTGCAAAGTATGACAACAGCTTGAGGAAAGAGGTTCTGATACTGCAGACAACATTGTAAAACACGATCATCATTGTTCTTGTCACTCAGGCCATCTGCAAGTTTAGTTAAGACAGTGCTGACATGTTCAGAAGTAACCCAGCATATGAAATACTTCAGTGCAGTCATGGTACTGTCTTTAGATGTTACACTCCTCAAACAAGGACAGAGAAGTGTAACCTGAGCACAAATCTGAGCTTTGAAGTATTAAGTACTACTCTATAGAGAAATGTTATTATTTTGCTGGAAAACCTTTAGTGAGCCATTTATGAATTTTGGAGAATGTTAAGCTTTTGATCAAAAAGTCAAAAAGCAAAAATGCACAATATATTCTTAGCTTGTAGATGGACAGGAAGTAATTAGATTAATCTAGACTAAATAATTCCCTACTTAGCAACTCAGAAAGACACAGCTCAAACTGAGAAACAATTAATTAAACAACAACAGACAAAAGTCTAATCTGAAGGAGACATKTGCACACTAAAGCCACAGTTATGTTCTGAAGGGTGCTGTAAGCTATTAGCCAGTTTTAAGAAGTGAACTGCGGAGTTAGTGATGATTGTATCAAATTCAAACGTAGCATTAAAGCTCGCACTAAGTGAACATGAAAAGATGAGCACACCCAATGCACACYGACTGTACATATCTTACATATTTTTTGAGAAGCAAGCTGCATGGATTGCCCCCACAACTTTGAATCTTGGTTTTTAAGACACATGTAGATGAACTGGACTGCAGGGATAGCTTTGTCCCGAACGTGCTGCAACATTTTCCCCTTCTTTAAGTGGTCTAATTCTTGCAGAACAACCCAAGGAATTATCAATGCAAGTCTCCCAACACCTTGTATGCAGAAAAGAAAAAAAAAAAAAAGAGTGAACTAGTGCACATAACATTTAACTAGCACAAATAGCATTCAAGTATCGTGCACACCAACATCCATCTGCTTTACAGTAAACTCACCTGAAAGAGACAGCAGCTTCCAGCTTACACACTGTAACACCACAGAAGAATAGTTTGATATACACTTGAAAACTACTGGGACTTTTGAAGGTTATTTACTTGGTTGCCTGGGTAGTTATATTCATTAGCTGAAAATATCAAAGCACCACAAATATTCTGACAGATTCCATGTGTGGCTACCAACAACTAACACACATGATCCTAATGGTCCCACATCTCAAATGCTATGAGCTTTATCAAGATARAAATAAAGGAGTGACTGACAACTTATCAATTTTTAGGTGCTTTGTGATTTCAGAAAGTTCTTACAATCACCCATTCTTTCTACAAATTTCCTATCGCTCACTCGCTCACCATGGATTCACATACCTGGTATAGTTTCAGATTTTAAGGACTTGACAAAGTCGAGGTGACTAATCATTATATTTGTGTCAATCACCACTAGTATGTTTAGACCAGAAGCAGAAGACGCTGCAGATGAGGGGAAAAAAAAAAAAAAAAAAAGAAGATGAAAAAAATGAATTGTGTACTGTCTGTTCAGGTCACTACCTGATTGTAATGAGTACTTAAATAGGTATCCAACAGTCTCAGATCAAAACGTACCAGCAGAAATACTTAAATTCTGTTCTGGGAGATCTATTTCCATGCTTGTAAGCTCTCCACAAGTCTGCACTACAGGCAATGCCATCCTTTTTTCAAGACGGGCAACATGCAAATCTTCTACTATCTGCATCTACAGCAGAAAATAAAGGTACAAAACTAATTATATACAAGCAATCTCCTTAAAATGGTGTACAAGTTTTTTTTTTTTTTTTTTTTTATACATTAATAGTGTGTTAAAACTGATTAAAGTGTGACAATTTTTCATTTTAGAAATAAAATGTGAAAAAAATAAGTTAGCATAGCAAACTTTAAGCCATGAGAATCTGCTACACAACCTCCACTATAGGAAGTCAAAAAAGTGAAGGTCCAAAATATGGAAAGAARGTTTGTAACCTTTCTGCCTAGTACCCCAAAAGTTTGGGTTTTGCTACATAGACTGAAAGTGGTATCCTGCCAAATGTACCTTTCATAATACAGCTCTCTTTCCTTACTGAAAAAAGAAAAACCGTCATAGGTTGGAATATGAGACAGGCACAGTATACAAGCAACGACGAGGGACACCTCCTTCGCAGAGGATAAGAGAAAGGCATATTTTCCATTTCAGAAAGTTTCTGATTATCAGCACTTTACTAAGTTCTTTCAGTATTTGAAAAATGATTCACACTCTTAGAAGCACAGATCATAAACCAATGATATGGAATACTAGGAAAGAGCATGAAATGGGGTAGCAACAGGAATTCAATGTCATCAGTTTTGTATATAACTGAGAAGTGCTAAGTTAGAGCACTACTAACCTCTTGATCTGATTCTGGGCTCTGATTGCCTCGATGTGATGGAAGGACTTCAAAGATCTGTAGAAAAAAAATGAACACTGCAGCAAGAATATAAATTGTCAAGGACTGAGAAACAAGTGATGCTCAAGTCAATAGTCTGAGAAAATACCTGTTTAGTGTTAAACAAGTACTTCACCAACCTTTTGGGTAGACTTTGTGTTCTCACTGTCTTGGTAGGAATCAGATGTGCTTGGGACCTCAGAAGTCTAAAAAGAGAAACATCAGCAGAAATAGCACTAAGAATCTCCTAAAGTGCTTGTTAGAAAGCACTGAAGATTTGCAAAGATATTATTGCAAAAATTTGCAAATATTTCTGCTATTCATGATGAAGTAATATGACTAGTAATTTTTTCTCAACAGTAATCATTAAAAAACAGCTTAGAAGGTAGGGTTTCTTTTAAAATAGATAGTGTTTTACCCAGTAAGCTTATTTTTCCAATCTCTTAAGAACTTTTAATAACTGATTGTTTAAAATTAGTGTCCTTATGACAATTATTTGAAACTATTATTAAGCATCCAAAGGGTTTCTGAAAAGATCATTTAAAGTCTGTATTCAAGTTTTAATAATTAAGTCCTCTCTTTGCGTATCTCTGTTTGCACAGAATGATCATACTTTTGTAACATGAACAGAAATTTCTGTGGCTGGGCAAGTTGAAAACAAATCAACAAACAAAAAGCAACAATGCTCAAAATAAAATCTGTACATAAATACAGGCACAGAGCCAAATTAAAGTTAGAAGTGATCACATCTGTCAATCATTCTTTCTTCCTAGATTTACAGTAAGAAGTTCTGTTGACCTCACTATACTGGTAAAAGAGCACCTGCTTTGCTCAAAGRGGAGGGTTTTTTGTCAGTTTACACACTTAAAAAAGAAATTATATGATGGCCATGATGACACACTCAYAAATCTGTTGACTCACATCTAAACTGAAATACTCAACACCTCCAGCACTAAGATAAATCGATGTAAGCATATGTGCAGACTTGTGATGTGCAAGATCTTCCTTTTCTCCATTGTATTCAGCAAAGCAGAGAAGCATTTTAATGTGGTTTAGGTTAGGATGAGAAAAATCCTCCATTTGAGCTCTTGTGAAAGRAGACATAAACAGGCTATTTATACAAAAACAGACTGCCGTGAAAAAACGAGCCTGAAACATACATCTGCACAATAGTAGAATAATCAGGTTCTCCTTACCCGCTTAAAACGTAAAGCYGCAGCTTGCAAGCATCCTCCTTTAGTCCCTGCATTAGTATCAGTTTTACCAGCATCAGCATCCTGTTTTTTCCACTTATGACAGTGCCATCGTTTTGGTGTTTCAGCTGAACAGTAAGACGGTGTATGTTTCGTAGCATGTTTATTTTTCCTAGAAAACTCCTTATATTCTTCTTCATCCTCATCATCATCACAAGTCCTGGATAACATACGTGATTTTTTAGTGGAAGATGTTTCATCATTTACAGTCTTTGCAKAGGTGATAGATGGCTTTTTTTGAGTTCTGACATCTTCACTCAATTTTTTGGATCCATGTGATGCTCTGTGTGGTACATGTGAAGTGCATGCAGCAGACTTGAACTTCTCCAGCATGGCTTGTTCAGCTTTTAGTTTTAATTTGCAGAATTCATTTCCCTCTCTCTTTTTCTTCATCACCTTGTCCTTCTGGAGTGCAAAGCTATGCAAGAGCTGTTTTTCTTCTGCTCCATCAAAACGATTACCTTTGTGATGACTTTCTCTYCTAGTAGATACCACATCAGCAGCACTAGTACTTTTCCCATGTTTAACCTCTTTAGGCTTAAACTGTATAACTATTCTCTTTCGCTTCTCAATTTGGATTGGAGAACCATCTGTGGTTTTGCTTCTGTTTGGTGATTTTCCTTCAGACCATCTATCAACACCATGAGAAACATTAGAACCTTGCTCATTTATCTTCTCTTGCATGCCCTTCTCTCTTTTGAGCCTATAAAAATGTTACAGAGAGGGGAAAAAAAAAAAGACATTGACATGTTATATATACATACAACAATTAATCAGACAATGAAACAGAACTCGCAAAAGAATCTGTATTTGATTTGGCCATTCCAAGTCATGTATTTATGTGTATTGATTTGGGATATCCTAAACTCATGCACTAGATTATTATTGTGGCAACATCTGTCCTTTAAGACAGTCAGATACACCGATCTTAGCGTTTAGAGCTTTACTAGCTGTAACACTACTTTTACTTCAATTTACCATCTTGGAAAAAGTTTTCTTTCTACGTTTTACTAGCTTTTGGCTTGACAGATCCCTGACTACAGTCTTAATACAGCCCAAATTTCATCTTAATGCACAGCTAAGTTTTAAGAGCAGTTTAATGATATTTGTCTGTACCACAATTCAGTAAAATTCAAGTAAGTAAATGTTGGRTCTTGACTGAACATCACCAAACACTGAAAGAATCTCAAATGATAGTGAATAAATAGACTGGGGAACCTGCAAAAGTAACAACTGGGGGGAATACAGCAACACTCAACAAAAATGATATATGATGTGAGAAGTTGTGACTAAAGAACTATTTCTTACAAGAGAAAATGAAGTACTTAATTTATCACATGTTAAGTGTAAAATATTTGAAGATTCTCCTCTACTCTGTCAGCATTAACAAAATTGGTGGGGAGGTAAAAGTCACAAAACCAGCTTTTCACATGACAGGTAATAACTTAAATGCACCTCTATCTTTGGAAACCGAACTGGTTACAGGAAGGTGGACAGGTTTGCAACAGGAAAAAACATCTTGTACTTGTCTTGTTTCATACATTCCTTCCCATACAATCATTCCTGAGCACTGTCAGCAACACCCTGCAACTAAATAGCCTGTGTTTTACAACCAAATGATGCAAAGAGATTGCTCTGAGATTTTTGCTCTCCTAAAGAAGCACTTCAAGGATCTCAGAACTCAGGAGAACATTTTTAATTTATATTATTAAGCTTTCAAACTCTATTTACATTTTCTACAGTTAAGATGAAAAGATGCAATTTTTTTGCCTAAGAACAACTACTTCAAGCAGCTGGAAAAATCAAGGATTTAGGGATTACAGAAATTGATTAAAGGTATGAATTTCACTGCAGAACTATTCTCCAAGCTAAACTGAAGGGTTTTTTTGTTTTGTTTTGTTTTTTTCTTCTCTTGATAACAGACTGTGCACAATACGCAATGCAGGACAATACAGTGCTTAAGACACAGAAGAGATGTCATTTTTTTTTCCTCTCTCAATGCTAGCAATGCTGGTTGTCACTTGYATATTATCTGAAATTCAATAACAGAGTCAGAAAAGTTTTAGGATCCTATTTTCTCAATCACTACAAACTGATTTGCCTAAACAAGAGCTATACATTAGTGAAATACAAACATATCATCTTAGGTGATGAGAAAGATTATGTTTTATTTGGTGAACAAATCAAGCAAAGTTCTCACAGTCAATCATCTAGTCTTTTATTTAATGGTTATCTATTACATTTAACAAAAAAGCAAAAGTTTACCTCTGAAATTCTGCTTCTCTTTTCATAGCAGGGTTATAACATCTTGAGTCTTCAGAGTTCTGAAAGAAGAGAAAGACCCCAAGGTCTTGTATAATAAASCGCAGTAAAATAAAATTTTGATAAGATGGAACAAGCTGTTGTCTCTTACTGGTTTATTATTGAAGTGCCAGGACCTGAACGACAGGCTGAAGCGGGAATTGACTTGCAGATGGACCCAGCACTGCCTTTGTAGAAATACACCAAACTCGCCTGTAGAACTGCTCAAGCTAACTTGCATGTAGGCTTACTAAACTGTAACTTTTTATCAACTATGGTGACCTTGTTTATGCCAAATTATACTGTAGGCTATTGTGCAATTGTGTTAATTTTGTGGAGAACCCTCTCATTTGAGGTCTGGACTCTGGCCAAGTCCCAGGCCCAGATCATCAGGGTATATGCTGCACCAGATGTTACCACTCACAAAGAAAATGCAAGCCATTATGATTTGCTGATTTTGTTCTATAAAAGCTGGACCCTCTTGTTGTGACTTTGGAGATTTCACTTATGGTTGGATGCACTGTGTAAGACCTCCCAATTGTTGGTAAGGTTCTCCAAATTCTTGCTGCAACAGAGGGTCTCCAGCAATCACGGTTCTGGATGAGACTGTAAAGTATTAAGCATTTGGTGATGTATCTTTTTCTTAATCACTATTCTCTTCTAGTAATGGTAAAGTGTATTACCYTGCTTGCTTTGTCTGTGGCTAAAACCAGGAGCGTAGTAAGCTTACTGTTTTGTTAAATGTATCATTTCATTTCTGTATTGCTTTAATAGTAAAACAAGACCGTTCTTCCCATTGGTGTGTGTGTTCTTTCTATCGCCCTCATCAATTGGCAAAACAACTAGGAGTAAGTCAACCTTTGAAAACAGTAGCTGCACACCTCACTAAAATTCTGTACTTAAATTTTATTATATCTAAGAAGCACAAGAAGGAAAAGTAACTGTGGCATATAGACCTCGATTATAAACAGAAAAAGCTTGAATGATTAATCACATTCAAGATTCTTCATGTGTTCCATATATTCTAGGAATTAAACAGTGTGTACAACATACATTTTTGTATATTTATAAAAACATACCCCTGTCAATGGCCTCCCGAGCCCCAAAGAGCAGATATTTCCATGGGAGGTTTATGCAGATGAGATGGGTATCAATTSTGACCAAATTTACTAATCAGAGGCATCAGTGTGAAATCAGTTACATGGGCCTGGTTAAGAGTAAGGATGATCTTAACACTGCCTGGCATATCTGCCATACTGCAAGCTGAGTCACATTAGAAAGCACTTAATTAAAAACAAAAAGGTTGCAGAAATCTCCAAGGTCTTAAACTATGGAAATCTGAAGAACTTGTAATCATGTTGGTTCTTTTACAATAGCACAAACAGAATCTTAATGCAAGAGGCTTTTCGAGGCTGCTAAATTTTGTCATGTAACCTGCTGAAGGAAGTGCTGCTCAATTCACATAATTCCAATCAAATCAGGAAGCAAATTTTACTCTTTTATTTACAACATGTAATTATCTGGCAATTAGTGAACTACACACTCAGAATCAACACCAGGAGTACAASAGATAGGCTACAATATAGGGTAATTATAAAAGTGTTTGATAGCAAAAAGTTCTAATCTCAGACAAGTAAATGACACACACTGCACACCCCCTCTTTCATAGACAGTGTAGGTAACAAGCACACCCCCCCTCGTCTGCGAGAGCTTGTTGCCCTCATTGTGTGCACACATCCTGCTGGAAAGGCAGGGGCTCAGGCCTTGTATACAGTCCTCTATCACACAGCGGTGACAGCATTCCCTATGACACCATGCAGGCACCGGCCCTGTCCTGTTGCAGCCTGCACTGTCCACCTGCTGACTGCAGCAGGAGCTCACGACAGGGTGTGACAAGGGAGGGCATCCCGTCACACTTGCATGGAGGCTGTGATGCCCATGGGATGGTCAAGCCCAATTAACTGCTACTACTGTCTAACTCTAAAACCCTCTCCTTAAAAAAATACAAGTTTTTGTGCTGTTTTTATATTTCTTTTCAAGAAATATTTATATATTTCTTTTTCTCAGMATAAGCAACTATCATTGCTACCTTCCTGTTTGTGTTATCAGCTCTTGGGTAATCACCACCTCAGAACAGACTATTTCAGGTATTCTTTTCACATGCAGAGTTTACACTCACATGCCTAACGTCCCATCCACTGTTTTCCAGACCACCCGGCCAGCCAAGGGGTGGCTGTGCAGACTCTCCTTGCATAGGAGAGCTTTGCTAACAGCTGTTGTAGTTAATACTGTGACAAATGGAGTTTGCAGTTGCAAATACTAGGAAGAATTTACAAATATTTGTACATTTCTATACGAGTGAAAGACTTGTAAAACCATAAACTCCTCACGCTCACATATAGACACTTCCAAGCRCTGTTCTGAGGCATTAGATAATTACAAACTCTCTCACTTTATATCACCTTACAAAAATAAAGGAAAAAAATCCAGCAAACCGAAATGGTGATTTTTTAAAATTATTGATCTACTAGCTATGTAGAACACTACTGTTARAAAGTAACTTTCCAAAAGGGTATATGAACAATAAAAATAACCAGTGGTATGGGAAATTGTTTTGGCAACATATGTGACCAAAAAGATTATGACTATGGTTGAACCTTCATTTTGCATGTGATTCAGTAGAACTTTACTCACTATTCTTGTATGTACATACATACAACAAATATGTACCTATGTATGTACATACATACAAGAATATACTAAGAATCTACAACAATTTTGGTCACTGACTTATACTGCATTGGTTAAGATACTGTATTTCTTTGACAGCCAATTGCTAAAACACTGTGAAGTATAATTTGCGCTTAACCAAAAATAAAATTACCCAAGATAAAGAACAACCCRGGAATACAATAGTACTTTTGGTAACTTCTTTTTGAGCTCATTTTTTCTGGTTACTTAAGAAAAAAAAAATACTTAAAAAAAATTAAAAAAAMCACAATAATTTCTGATACCCATGGCCTCCAGGAGAAAAACAAAACAAAACATGAAAGTCAGTCATGTGGCAGGAGCTTTTAGGAATCTGATGAATCCGATCCTCTGACTGTCTTTAATGAACCCACCTTTCATTTCAAAATTAGATTCAACTTTCTATCATAAAACTGCTCAATAATTATCCTCTCAAATGTGGGATTCTATTTATTTTATAAAAATAATATAGTTCTTCCTACTTTATCATCCCGACCATCCAGACTGCCCTCCTTTCCACTTAATTTCTTCAGTTTCTTTTTAGACATCTCCAAACCTAGGGAAAAAACAGTGTTAACATTATTTAAAATTTCAAAACAATTTCCAAGTGTATTTCTATCTGGTCTAAAATCAACTTTTAAATAGCGCTAAGAAAACGAAACAGAACACACTCCTCGTCTTCCCTCTTTTCTTTTTCCCTCTTTTCTCTTTCCCAGGGCCCGGAACGAGGCCGGGCGCTCCCATCTCGCCAACGGMCGAACGTCGCACAAGGAAACGCGGCGTTTTCATCTCCCGCTCCAGGCGGGCGTTTTGCGCCAGCAAACACGCGGGACACGCAGCCCTCCCTGGGGCGCTACCTCATGTGGAGTTTACAGCCATTCCAGGGGTACAACTCGCACCTCAGGCCCACCCTTCCCCACGCCGGGGCTCCGCAGGCCGAGCTCACGACATCGCTCGGTGACACCGGCGCGCGCGGCCGCMGGGCCCCGAACTGAGGCTACAAACACGGTTACGCGGGCGGGGGCAGCGGCTCGGCCGGCCCCGGGAGGGCCCTTAAGCCGCTCTTCAGCGCGGACGGGCGGAGCGGCCCCGGGAGCGGCCCAGCCGAGGGGCGAGGGCCCTGCCCGCCGCCGCCGCCGCCGCGAGCCGCGCAGCGCCCGCACCTGCCCCGCCGCCGCCCGGCGCCTCCCCGCGCGGAGCCCGTCGGGCCGCGCCCCGCGGAGCCGCCGCGCTGCGGGGCACCCTGGGAGTCGTAGGCGCTTCCCCCGCCGCTCCCGCGGGACGTGCCGGGCCCCGGGGCGCCGCCATCGCGGCCGCTCCCGCACGGCCCCGCCCGCCCTCGCCGAGCGGCGCCTCCCCCCCGCTGGAGACGGCGGGAGGCGCGCGGGACTCGTCCTGCCCCCCCGCGGAAGGGAAAGATGGCAGCGGAGGAGGCCGCGGAGGCCGCGCGGGCCCGGCTGCGGAGGGAACCGGACGAGGAGGAGGAGGGCGCCGCGGCGGGCGCCGAGGCGGCAGCGCTCAGTAAGGGCCGCGGCTGCCGGCGCGGGGCGAGCGGGAGCGCGGGGAGCCGTTGGGGCCCGGGAAGCCCCCGGGGTTGGGGCACGCGGGAGCCGCTGGGGCTCAGGAGGGAGCGGGAGCCGTTGGCCGCGCGGCCTGGCCCGGGCTCCCGCGCCCTGGCAGGGGCGGCCGCCGCCTTTCTGCCCCCGGCGGGGCGCTGCGAGGCCGCGCTCGGGCCCTCCTGCCCCGCCGGGCCTCGCGCTGCGGCCCCGCTGAGTTCCGTGCGCTTTTAATCCTTCCAGSTGCCGCCTGGAAGAGGGTGCTGCGGCGCGGGCTCCTTGTCCGCGCGGGCGGAGSTGCTGCCGCTCGGGTGGCCTCGTCCCCACGGGCTTAACCGAGCGGCGCTCTGGTAGCCGCGTCGCAGAGCCGCCCTTGGCGCTGCTGCCCGGCCCTKGGTGCTGCCCTCGAACAGCTCCAGTGAGCTTAATAGCTTCAGCTGAAATAAGCGGTCTGGTTTGGGCCCCTGGGCGTTGTTTTATTATGTTTGCACAAAATTGATGACTCCCAATAGGAATTGTGCAGTCCTGCTTCAGTAATAAAGTGACACTGTGCTTGCCTGTGCCTCCCTAGAGCTGTCCTTGTGGGCTTTGGTGTGAGCTTTTGTCTGCTTTAAGCAGTGTGTTTGTGTCTGTGTATATGTATGTACATGCACGTGTAAAACACATAGGTATGACCACTTAYAAAGTCACCCAACTTTGTATATAGAAGCAGTATGTATGTGTATGCATGTGTAACTTGTGTATTTATTGTTAAGGCTCTGTCAGCTGTCTTGGTTTCAGATCATTACTGTGATCTCCCTATACATTTCCCTATGCATTTTTCTAAAAAGATGCACGTTGCCAGTTTTCACACAGCACACCTAGTCCTGTTCGCTCTTCTTGCAGATTTCTCAAAAAAGAAACAGAAACCCCTAATGCTTTCAGCTTTATTTMTTTCTTTCTCTCTTTTCATTAATAAATAATGAAAAAGGCATCTTCTAGGCATTAATTGAGAAACAGGTGAGAAATAGAAGTATGTTTCAGGTGATTTTTCCGCTAAAAATAGTCTGTGAGAAACATATCACTTTTATGAATAGCAGGCATATCACTTTTATGAATAGCAGGTTAGAATATTTTCTATTCTTCTTTAGTCTTTTTATGTAAATAATTTCTTTATATCAAACTGCAATATCTGAAAAACAAACCCGTAAAACCCCAAAACCAGGAGAATCTAAGAACTGCTATAAGATCAATTCAGCCCTTATCCTGTCTGTCCTCAGTTGTGGCCAAATGTAAATAGGTGGGGAAGATCATAAAGGCATATATTAGCATATTCTCCAGAAATATCTTTGTAACTCATATGTTTTCTTTTGAAGCCAAAGAAATTAAATATRAATTTTTGTAAATAAAAGGTGTTAGTCTGTCCTCTGTAGAATTGTTGTTTTAGCCTGTGTAGTCTTCCAGCAGCCTGTTGCAGGGGATTCTGTATCTTAACAGCAGGTTATGTCAACACTTTTGTTCAATTTTGGACTTCTAGGTAATACCCCCATGTGATATGTCCTGGGTATTTTTTGTTTGTTTGTTTTGTTTTTGTTTTGTAACGGGAATAGAAATAGAACCGTTAACTTTGATGCATTCTGTGTGCCACTCATAATTGTTTAAGTGTTAATCCTCTCGAAGCTGGAARGCCTTAGTCTATTTTACTGCTTCTTCAGCAGAAGCTCTTCTGTAGCTTTACTGGCTTCTTGTCACTTGCTTTTAAATGTGCTCTTTTTCTGCCCTTTCCTTTTAAGAGCTGGTTGATGAGGAATAATTTTGTACATGATACAGAATGATCATGAATTTCTGCATTATTTCTTAAGAAACGCTGTTTGTGGGGAGAGGGACAGAMCTCTACTGAGGATATTTCTGTTGCTTCCATAAAACTGTTTTAAAACATCAATGTCTTATTCCTGGCTGAAATAATCCTCTTGCCCAATCGCTCAGCCTCTGAAAATCCTTTTGCAATTCTTCAGTAAGCTCTTGTCTTAAATACCCCCAAATAATTTAGTCATTAACAGGTAGTGTCCCCCTCTTCACTTATCTGTCCTTCCAAGTAGTTCAGACTATTCATAACTAGTTCTGAATTTCTGTTTTTGTTAGGCACCAGTATATTGTTAAATGTATTTGGACTTCTTGTCTGCTTCTGTCACTGGTGTTGTGTTTTGCTAGTGAATTGCAAGTAAACATTGTTCTGTTAATGCTAACACATCTGATAATACAGATGGATGAATAACTCTTTCTCTCCAGGACAGCACTGCTTCATAGTGGTTTTCAAGAATGCATAATATTTGGTATTAAATATTTGGTATTAAATTGTTCTTAGAGATATTGATTAAATATTTTTTTCTCCTTCAAATTGTAGCCCATTTTACTCATTAAATCACCAAATTATTGGAAATGAACGTAGCTGTATAGTGCAGGTACTAATCAACATAATTCTTGCATAATTTTTTAAGATGGTGTAGTTGTCTCTGGAAAAGTGGGAAATGGGAACAAACTGGACATGGAAGCTACCGAGTCAGAAGCTGAAATCAAGAGGAAAGGAGCAGAGGAGGAATCCATAAGAGAGTCCGATAGTAACATTTTGGATGTATCATCTGAATCTCCAAGAGGTTTGCTAATAAACTATAAGAATCTTTCTATCATGGTGTTGATGAAAGGAGTAAAAAAAGATTAAAATAACATGGAAGCAACATGAAAAGAGCATGTGAAATATTATTTCCAGTCCCTCTGATTCCATTCATACTACTCTCCCTGAATCTGGAGAAAATACTTTCCTTAGATGTTAGAAATATGTCATTTAAATGAGATGCCATTTTCCCCTTGTTAGCATCCAAGAAATCAGTTTGGAACCTCCTCAAAATACAGTGATAGAAAAGAATTTGATATGTATCAAGTCCTAATATTAAAAAGTACTGCTCCGTGAATCTACTGACATAGTTGAGTACTTGCGGACAGAAAAAGTCCATTGCAATGAGTGCAAAAATTGGGAGTGAGGAATTCTCTTTAACACCAGCTTTAAAACTTACTGCTGTATCTCGAACACATMGATCAACTGAAGTCTTAGTTTCATTTAAGAAAATATGAGGACTACAGTTAAAAAAACCAGTAATGTTTAAAACCCCTACAGAAGCAGTATTGCTATGAATTGGGATGTTCTGTGTGTCAGAGTCCATAACAGATTTGTTGGATAAGATCTCTTGTTCTCTAGCAAATTTTGCACTGTTATCGCAGCCTAAGTTGAAAAATTGGAAAATAATTTTGAGGATATTAAAAACTTTGTCAAGAAAAAAAAAAGAAGAATTGAATGCATCCTGGTTATACATTGCATAATTGGTACTAATAATTGCTCCAATTATAGCTGCTATTTTAGTTTTACTGAAGACTTCACAAGATGCTGTTATACTGYTTTATTCAGAACTTATATTGAATAAGAATGCCAGGCAGTAAAATGAGGAGTAGATAGTGTGCAACTTGCTCTTTCCATTTTTTTTTCCAAGTGAAAAATTTTCCAATCTGAAAAACTGAATATATATCAAAATTAAAAAAGAAGTAGAAATATTGGGATCTTATTAAGGAACCAGTTGGGGATTAACTTTGCAAGTCATTCCGTCTACCAGAATTATGCTGGAAGTTAAAGGATACAAACTGCTATGAATATGGGATCTAAGATGACTGATAGAAAAATAGTAAGCTAAAATACTTTTTGTTTTCTTTTTTTAAAAACTAAGTATGTTTAACTTCTAAATATCTCTGATTTTTAGAGAAACATATTTCAATTCAAAGACAACTTGCCGATCTAGAGAAACTAGCTGATCTGAATGAAGGTGAGTTTACCTTGGGAGTATCCCAGAACACAGCTCTTCAGGTTGCAGGTATTTATATTCTTTCCTGTTTTTATTTTTAAAATACTTTTTGTTCTTAAAAACCACCCTTAACTAGGGGTTTCATCAAGAACAATTTTTCAAGAA